TAATACCAGTTGTTTTTAGTTGAAATTTTGTCTGTTGATTGGTCGTGACGTTTTGAAGAAGTCTAATAAATTTCAGTGGGAATTCAGGGGCGGATCCAGGAATGTTCGCAGTGTGGGTTTTTTATCGGCACAAAACAAATTTGAAATGTAAACATGTTTTTTTCTCTGGACACTTGGCATCCGCAACATCAAAAAGCTTTGTAAGAGCAGGGGAGGGGTTCGAACCCCCCCCCCAAAAAATACCCTCTGGATCCGCGCCTGCATGTCAATGACAGTTATTTATATTAAACCCAATTTAATGGAATGTACATTCTTGTGTTCCACTTGACTTTGTTTTGCAATTTTGTATTTCCAGTTTTAAGGGTGAGGGGCTTTTTTCTTCCTGTTTTGCGAATTTCTATATTTGTTAGGAATGTTCAAGAAACGTTATTTGTAAGATGTATATTGTATAGGCCTATGGCGTTTCGTCATTGGAAATTGCGCCATTAATAATAGTAGTCATACTTATCGCACGAAACTTAATTTGGATTATAGTCCATTATTAAATATTCATTAATTTCGGACATAGACCTTTGTTTCGTTTTTAATATCAAACTAAACCAAAGTAAAAAATTAAATAGAGGCTAAAAAAAAAAATCAAAAAGTTATGTGCTGGCCAAGCATTCAGGGATCGGTCTGAGCCATAACAATGCCCCAGCCAATCCCTTAGGACTCTTCCGGGATCTCGGTGTTCCCGGCCAATACACATTTCCTTCCCTGTCCATCCATGTAACCCGAGGGCCAGGCACCATGTAAAAGCAAAGAGCTTTTGAATTTTTTTATTCACATCTTATTTAGCCAAATATCACTAAAAAAGCTAGGTTAACCCCTTACAATCTGAAATTTTCCAGAAAGATCTGATTTTGCCCAATTTCGCTAAAAATACAAGGTTCACTCCTTACAATTTGAGATTTTTCATAAAAATCTGATATTCCCCCGTTATGCCAAAAATGCCAAGTTAACCCCTTACAATTTGCAATTTTCAAGAAACATCTGATTTTTCCCAATTTCGCTTAAAAAAGCAAGGTTAACCCCTTTCAATCTGCAATTTTCCAGGAACATCTGATTTTGCCCTAATTTGGCAAGGTTAACCTCTTACAATTTTTGATTTTTCATACAAATCTGATTTTGCCCAATTTTGCTAAAACTGCAAAGTTAACCCCTTAAAATCTGAAATTTTCCATAAACACCTGATTTTGCCCTATTTTGCTAAAAAATGCAAGGTTAACCCCCTACAATTTGAAATTTTTCATACACATCTTATTTTGCCAAATTTTACTACAAAAGCAAGGTTAACCCCTTACAATCTGAAATTTTCCAGAAAGATCTGATTTTGCCCAATTTCGCAAAAAAATGCAAGGTTCACCCCTTAGGCCAAAAAAAAAAGTCTCCGGTTTCTGGTATGGAGCTTGCCCCAAAAGTGGTGCGGCGACGCGTTTTTTTTTTTTTTTTTTACCTGTTTTTTTTTTTTTTTGGCTTCAAATGTCGGCTGATGACTGCAAATGGTGCCCGACTAAACTTAGTGCAAATATATGGGAGTCCAGAGAGGCCACATAAAGCTTATTCTCGATCATAACCCCATCTAAAAACACGTTAAAATTGTGCAGCAGCAGGATTCCAGTCAAACCAGTGAGTTTGGCGGTTTTGAGACATCATCTTGTATTGAAAAAAAAAATCATTTTGCCGACGCGCATGGCCACAGCGACGCGCGCGCATACCAGAAACCGGAGACTTTTTTTTTGGCCTTACGATTTGAAATGTTTCATGAACATCTAAATTTTACTAAAAATGCAAGGTTAACCCCTTACAAGCTGCAATTTTCCAGAACCATCTGTTTTTTCCAAATTATGCTAAAATGTAAGGCTAACTCCTTGCAAACTGTTAAATCAATACATGAAGTGTCCCATTTGACTTTTTTAAAACAAATTATTTTTCCAGTTCTAAGGGTAAAGGAATTTTCTTTTTTCCTTTCTTTTCTATTGTTGCTATATTTTGCAAATTAACTCATTCGTATGGAATGCTCATAGTCAATCAAAGAATATTTCACACAAAGGGGCCTAAATTATATATTTTTAAATTTAATAGAGACGCATTGATCGTGCTATCATATACCATTCTATTACTATTGCGAATTACTGTATTGTTTGGAATGCTCACAATTAAAGACACGTTATTTGAAAGATGTATAAATAATATTTATATTACAATGTACATCTTTATTCTTTCCCGGTAAAATTTATGGCCTTTCTTACGTCAATTGGCAATCGCGTCATTATATAATGATAGTCAAATTGATCAAACGAAACTCCGTTTTGATTATAGTCAATTATGATATATACATTGATTTATGACATACACCTTTGTTTCAATTTTGATACTACCCGTAGACCTGCCGAGCAGCTGTAGATATCAAACTAAACCAAAGTATAAAAGATAGAGGGTAAAAAAAATCAAAAAGTTATGTGCTAGTCAAGCTTTCAGGGATCGGTCTGAGCCATAACAATGCCCCAGCCGATCCCTTAGTTCTCTTCCGGGGTCTCGGCGTCCCCGACCAATACACACTTCCTTCCCTATCCATCCATATAACCCCGGAGGGCCAGGCACCATGTAAAAGCAAAGAGCTAAGGGAGGAACAGGGCGGCCCCTAAGCCCTGATCCTCCGAGTGGACCACATGCCCTGAACCTGTACGAAGGCGCCAACCTGGAACTCGCGGACAGTACCAGCAGCAGTGCTTACCGATTAAGCTAAGGTACTGTTGGTGATTTACGATGGGAAATTAAACATCTTATAATGACTGAATGCGTGCATTGAAAATGCAAAAAAGACACCGACGGGATTCGAACCCGGGCTCCGCGATTCGTAGACGACGAATCTAACCACTAGGCCATTCGGCTTCCTTAGAATTCTGCTCTAAAACGAATCTTCTAAACCGCAGGCGGAGAAACATTGATCATTGTTGGGTGCATCTGTTTTAAATAGCTCCATGGACGACCAGAAGTTGAAAATTCGGGCAGCAATGATCCAACTGTTTTCATTTGTTATGTTTGGAAAAATATATACGGCAGCTTCGTTAGTCGTAGGCCTATACGTACGTGTGCTAAATCTACTTATCGTTACGCAACAATGAACACCGTGATTGTGCAGGCTTTTTTGAAAAGGCATCATGTGCGTTCAGGGGCGACCCGGAATTTTTGCGGGGGGGGGGGGGATGTCCAGGCCCGTCAGATGTTCATATCCGATTGTTGTGGACAGGCGGACCGTGTCATTTTTAAAATAATTATATATTTTTCCTGTTTTTTAATGCAAGGGGGGGGGGCATACTTTCAATGGGGGTGCTGTTCAAATCCGACGATTATTAATACTATATCACAGAATAATGTACATATACCCCCTTATATGTAGGCCATATTACTAGCAAAAGAAAGTTTTGGGTGTCGGAGCGGGGGGGGGGGGGGGGGGTTCGCATTCCCCCCCCCCCAGGAATTTCTATGGAGAAGAAAAAAATACAGGGCTGAGGGGGTTTTGACCCCCTTAACCCCCCTCTGGATCCGCGCCTGGAATTATCAAATATTTGAGTTCGGACCAAAACAATTATTGACTGCGTTCTGCGAAAAATACAATCAGAACTAAAGTCAATCTTAATGTTACAAAACAACACACTCGTTGTAATTGTGGAGACGATAACTTCAGATTTGTCTGTTGAATTGAATTGATTTTTTTCCCCATTGATTGATCGCGACGTTTTAAAGAAGCCTTGTAAATCTCAAAAGCAAATGTTAAACATTACGGTTAATATACCCGAAACAATTGTGGTGCGTTCAGCGCGAAAAAAAAATACAAATTGAAGTCAGTGTTAGTAAAGCAACCACACTTGTGTTTCAGGTAACTCCAGCAATCCACGTTGTATTGAATTGAAATTTTGCCCATTAATTGAAGATAATGTCTTACAGAAGCCTTATGAATTTCAAGAGTCATTATGAAATAATAAAGGTATATAACCAAAACAACTGAGTGCGTTCAGCGGGAAAACCGTCGTCATCGGTACCTCTCTATGGGTGCAGACAGTAAATCGGTCCGAAATTGCATGCCTACGCCGGCCAAATCACGATTTGCATGCACTTACAATCTTCAGTATTGGAGCATTTTGAAGGCCGTGAACTTGATGATTTGTAAAAGAGAAGGTTGGAAGCCGTGCAGAGGACTGCGAGCTCGTATATCTGTGAAATGTGGATGATGATTAGGTCCTAAAACGGCTCTATTTTGCAATGGAGCGTAGGCGTCCATTTTTCAAAATGGCGATGGGCTTCAAGACTGCTTTTAGGGGTGATCATCTTTGGATGGAATTTTCTCCCAAAAGTCATCAGTAAACCCCCAACAATTGAACGGAAAATGAAAGATGATGAAATAAGCTTTAATTTGATGTACGTCTTGAACACCTCAGAGAGTTGTGAGTATTTTTCCTGAATTGGGGGCATTTATCATTGGGGTCAATGTAAATTTATTTACTGGTCTGCAAGACTGCAACCCTTTTGGCGACCATACACATGTACTGCACTATGGTCGCCCCTAGAGGTTTATAGGCCTAAGACATAATTACTTCACGCTTTGTCTACATGTGCCCTTTCTTATGGGAGCTAGAAGAGTATCGTTCCCACCTGGCTCCCATAGGAACGCGCACATGTAAACAAAACATGACATCATTCCGTCTAAGTAGGTCTATTGCATATAGATATCATGACGTCACATTTTGAGTGGCATTCATCCCATGCCTGTGCATTAAATTTAAAACATGTATTCCATTTTTTTAATTAAATTTTTGTTAAGTGCTCTGCTCCTCAATTTGACATAATAACTAACATTCGGTGATTCGGACATCATGAAAATATTGTCTCTAAGGAACAAAATATTATATAAAAACCTAAAAACAAAAAATAAAAAAGAATCAACTTGGCAACACTAATTCGATATAAATTTGTAAATTCTTTTATTTCAAATCGACCATCAAAAGAATTACATCACAATGACAGCAATACTAAGAAACCTCGTCTACCGTGTCCAAAGATTTTGCCACTTGATTGGCTAAGAGTGTATCACATGGTATTTATTTTCATTTGTTAAAAATAAAGCACTCTAATGGTACTAACCAGTTCACGCTGGGATTATTTTGACAAGAACGGAACGAGACGCAGGATTACTTTTCACTTGACCTCAAGCCAGGCGGGTTGAAGCCATCACCCTCGGGCTGCACACTCATATTTCCGGCCTCACTCGCTGTAAGCGGGTCACTGACAGATATTTCCAGCCTCGCTCCCTTGTGTTTATCCGTCATACATCCTAATACCGCAAAACATTTGCGTGTATACACGTCATCCGGCGCGAACTGGTTAATATGTGAATAGTATTTAATTAAAGGGATTCTCACACAGAAATCCAATATACATTAAATTTTCCAACAGAAAAACATACATTTTGAATTTACGATCTGTTCCACTGCACTCTTTACATGCATAAATCTCACAACTTATAAAACCAAATATTTACATGTCGTATTGAAATGTCACACACTTCCAACTTTACACTCACACACTAATAATTTTCAATGAAAGCACTTTCAGCACAAATGAATACATGTACATACATACAATATTTGTAATAGAACATTTATAAATATATTTGTATACAAAATTTTAAAAACTACAATCCAATTATTAGGTGGTTACTGTTTAAAATGAGGAAAGATTTTCCAAATTCGTTTCCTTGTAGACTTTTCGTTCATTTGGTTTTTGGGTTTTTTTTTGTTTTTTTTGCGGGGGGGGGGGTGTTGTTGGTTGTTATTTTGTTTTGGTTTTGGGTGGTTTTTTTTCTTTTTCTTTTTTTACTTTCTGCTTCTCTTACCCTGTTATAAAAAAAAACCAAGCAAAAGAAGAAGAGACATTCTGGCTTAAAGGCACATAGGAACATTTGCAATTAGCCGGAAACGGACCTACTAATTTAACAAGAAAATCCTTGCTAAAAGTGACGATAGGAATGGTACCAGATACCCTGTGAAATTAGTCCGCCTAGAATGGTATCATTCGAAAGAAAACAATCCTTGAAGGTGGTTTACAAAAGTGTGCCCGCGGGCACAGTTTTTTATTTAAGTTAGCAATGGAATCCAGTTACGAGACCCCAATGCATTTTCTGTTTTCTCAACATGTATATACTTTGATCACTGAGCTAAATCTTAGTTGTTATGAATGAATTCCATGCTCCAGACCACGAGGCCATGGCACTCCACATTTACATCTCTGAAAAAAACTATAGAACTCAAGACCTGGCTATAAATTGAATAAGCTTCCATACTTTAGATGTAGACAACCCTTCTCTGTCATGTACCATCATATGTCAACCGAGCAGCCCTGACTAGAAACGGTTTACCACTGCGGACGTTGTACATCGGGTTTGTCAGTCTGGAAACGTCTTGGTAGAAGAACGAGGGATTGGCTGATGGTGTCATTAGCAGGGAGTCTGTTGAAAGCAACAAAACAAATTTGTTATGAATCGGTCAAGTCTTTTCCAGACCTCAGCTTTGGCTTCAGAGCTGGGGCCTCAGTAACCAAAGTTGGAACCAAGACAGCAAAACATTTTTCTTTTCCAAAATGGATTAACCAGTTCACGCCGGGATTATTTTGATGAGAACAGAACGAGGCGTGGAATTGAAGCCATTGCCCTTGGGCAGCCTTGCTCCCTGCGTGTTTATCTGTCATCCGTTCCGAATACCGCAAAACTTTTGCATGCATACACGGCCTGCTGCGCAAACTGGTTAACTTATCAACGGAATCATGTCTCTCTTGCAGAGTTGCAATCAACTAGTCAATTACAAGTCAAATCATAAATCAATTACAATTTAAATCACAAGTAAGTCACAACTGAAATCAGATGTGAAATCACAAGTCACATAACAAGTGACAACAAGAAAGGAAGACCTTTGGTCACAGTTCATTTGAATAACTTGTGACTTGCCTTCAAACTGGAGGAATTGTGATTGACTATAGTGATTGACTTGTGACTTAATGAAAACTCTGCCCACGTCTTAGCTACTTCAGCACTTTTTGCAGCTGGTTCCCATTCCATGGCATTATTATTAGAAAGAAATATTACTCAGCAGCCCGCCTTGATGAGCACGAAACCAGTCACAAGCAATACACCTTGCACCAACCCAAGGGCGGATCCAGGGGGGGGGGCCAAAGGGGGCCATGGCCCCCCCCCCCAACAAAAAAACGAAACCAATTTTTTTTTTTTTTGTATGTGACATCGCAAAAAAGGCAGGCAATGAGTACACCACCATCTTTCCCTCAAAAAACATTGGTTAAAGTGGTCAGAAATTGCCTCAGATCGCACCACAGAGCATCTAGAATCCAAAATTTTGGGGGACCAAAAAATTGTTGGCCCCCCCCCAAAAAATTGTGTTCTGGATCCGCCCTTGCACCAACCTTGCTTCCATGGGTACGACTTAGCAGCACCATGTTGGTTCCCATCATGCCTTGCGCGATCTTAACCCCTGGAATCATGTAATCTAAATGTGCCAAAAAATAGTGGCACATTTAAATTAGGACTGCAGTCGATGTGTTTAAAACTTTAGCAAACATTTGCTGTGCTTCATTTTCTGTGCTTTGTGGTTGTGTTTGCAATTGGCCCCTGGAATGGATGTGATCATGAAAACACTACCCTCATTATGGTAAATCCCACTAGCTAACTACTTCAAGCAATCAAGGCAGTAAGTACTTCTAGAATTAGGAGGTACTTAGTCAAACATATGAATTCTAGTTCTAAGCAGCTGTAAATGCCAGTTGGGTCCAACGACTGAGCTTTTTTGAAATTCTTTCAAGGAATTGCCGAAACCTGATTTGGAAGGGAATGAACCACAGTGAATTTCTCTTCTGTTTAGTCAATTTTTCTCTCCATGCAAAAAAATTACATTAAGAGACAAATTTCATTTGGCTAGAAATATATATACTTTGTCTCTTTGTAAAAAAAAATAATATGGAATGGCCACTATGTGGACTATGAGATGCTCTCTTCCAAGCATTCAAGCCCATTTTCTACAGTGGAGAAATGAAAACATTTGTGTTTTTCACTGAAAATTTCAGCCGCTTTAATAACAAATTCGCGCATGATTTACAACTATAGACTGTCACGCCAGCCTGGAAAAAAAAGTTGTATGCAAAAAGTTCAACACCTCAGCTGTGACAAGGGCAAGCCAACACATGCAATACATGCACACTAAAAATGAGCTTATGAAACAAACAGCAAATAAAATGCCATGCACAAAAATTCAAGCGAACATTTAAAAGTTGCAAGTTGCTGTGAACAATACTACTTGGAAGGTGTTTGCAGACGTGCCACGCGAATTTGACTATCTCTGAAAAAGAAATGGTTCTACGAAGAACCAAAGGTGTGCATTCCATATTGGTCAGTATGCTCCCGCTATCATCAAGAGCTTCCCAGTCAGATCCCTTTACCAAAATTTCAACTTAAGAATACTGTTTCCTCCCAGAAATATTTCTCTTTGTCTGCAAACTTATGCCAAGTTGTACTCTCCCACCATTGTGAGGACTTGTGATGGATTCAAACGACAGTGTCATATCTGGGTTAAATGGATTAAATTTAGTACGAATGCATGAAAAGTTAATTCACTTGGCAATGGCAATGGCAATGCAAAATACGATGAAAACAACTCTGTTATTGGTTAAGCTTGAACTAAGGGGTGGACTTTTTGCAACAAATCTTGGCATGGACATAAAAACACTTGCAGGCAGCAAAGTGAACTCCAAGCGTTAGCTACACATGAGCAACACAGCAATCCTTCACACAATTACCGTCAGCCACAACATGTTCAGCCTGGGTTAATTTGGGCAAGGGCCGGTCACTTGATTTGCATGCCGAGCGGCGAAGGTGGCCTCTGCTGGCCACCGTAGGGTGGGGTCATTGACCTCGGGAAGTTATGCTGGCGAGCCTGTTGGAGATAGTCTGGTTCCGCCTCATCGGTCAGTGGGAAGTTTATATCGGTGGAGGCAGGTGATGGGGGAGGCTGGTGAGAGACTTGGAGAGGTGCAGGAGGGTGTGTGGCAACATTTAGTCTCTTGGTAATGAATTATGCATATATGGTTATGAATAATAATGAGATCATGAATTATGAACAAGCATGCATACATGTACACACAAACTTTATCTCTCATACACAGGAATGTTATCAGTGTTTCTTGTAAGTTGGGTGTGCCTTCACAGGCTCTTGGAAAACTATACATTAACTAGAGCTACTCAAGAAACGGAAAAAAATCCACTGTTTTCATTTCATTTCATTTCCTCTTTAAAGTACATAGATTTGTTTTTGTGCTTTTAGTTTTTTTGAAGCAACAAAATTGCTCAAAATCTTAAGAAGGATGCGTAACAACTAACTTGTTGAACTTTCATCTCTCAGTGGCTACTGTACATTTTGAGAAAACAGAGAAAACATGCAATTTCTTGGGTCTTGTAACTGGATTCAGTTGCTACCGTATTTAAAAAACTGTGCCCACTGGCATATTTTCTTAAACCACCTTTTGTTCTGAATACCATTTCAGGGGGAATAGTTTCAGGGTATTTGGTACCGGTCTCATCTTCACTTTGAGCAAGGATTTTTCTCGTTAAATCGGTTGGTCCGTTTAATTGCAAATGTTTTTACATGCCTATTAAATGTTCATCAACAGCGAAAACGCAGACAAACATTACGATTTATAAAATACTTTTTTGACCAACAGTCTCCGTTACCTGCATACATTGAAGACCTTTCCCTTGACATGCCAGCCGATTTGACTGTCCTTCGGCTACTCTGTTTAGGCGGACTCCTGGATTGCAAACACAAGACAGGTGTTATAATTCAGAGATGGTAGTTATTTGTTTTCAATAGGTCTCGTTCAAATGACGTCATTTCCTACAGACCATCCACGTGCATCAGCATTTTGAGCGTCAACTTGCATAACGCGCATCGGCTGCGTCTATTTCCAACACATTTTGAACAACAAGCGCGAGTGTTTGGAGCATTTTCAACACTGTGTAATGCATGCTTGATTGCTTAAAATACGCAGTTGCAGCTCTACTACAGAGATGGGTGTCACTGAGCGAGCCCAATTGAATTTACCAACCAATGAGTCAAATGCCAAAGGTGCATTATCAGGGTTGAGATTGTTGGAAAATGACAAATCTATGAACTAATCGGCAGAGGGTCTGAGGGTTGCCGAGGGCCTCCGAGGGCCCCAGAGCAAGGTAGGGTCTATGGTATATGTTTGTATTCGCCTAAAGGAAACCCTTAACCACTTTGCGCCGGGCTTATTTTTGCCGAAAATTTAGATGTTCGCAAACAAAGGAATGAGGATTAGGGACAATAGGGGGTCCACGATTGCCGGTATTTACAATGATGTACGTGTGCACGTGTTCATCTTTTCAAACCGTGGATGAAAAATACCAGAGAACAAAAGAGAACAATATCGTCCACGATTCCCAGCATACGTCCGTGATTGGGGTCGTGTACAAAACCTATGGGAGTCTTCCTAAAAAGTTAGATTACAAACAAAAGAGAGACAATTTGATGTCCACGATCGATGGTGAACACACGTTTTTGTGTGTGTGGGTGTTCCTGCATGGCATTACGCCTGAGGACAGACAACAAAAGGAGCACAAAGGGGCCATTGATCCTCGAAGGAAGGTGCCTATTGTCCTCGAACGCAGGTTTGTGTGCTTAGTCTATGGGAGAGTGTTATATTACAGGGACAAAGGAAAACACAAAGCCAATCCTCGGAAGCATAGCAAAAAACGACTGTGTGTGTGTGTGTGTGTGGGGGGGGGGGGGGGGGGGGTCGGAGGATAGGGTAAGAGTGGGGATGGGGTGGAGGGGGGGGGGGCGTACACTCACCTCGACCTGTTTGGTCCTACAGACTGCGGCCGCCGGCCGCTCATCCCTTCCATCCACCCCGGAGTGTGGTGAACCTTCATCCTATTGGTCAGTCTCTCGATGTGATGGACGTTCATGCCACCAGCTAGCCAATCGGTACCTGTTTGGAGCAGCACTGGACTACCGGAAGGCTCACGGTAGCGCCCTTTTGTGGGCGTAGAAGAACGCGAAGCTAATGAAAAAATCACATTAATAGAACCATTTTATAATTTCATTACATTGTTTTTATATCTAAAGGCATATAGGATCTTTTGCTTTCCATGCATTTTGTTCGTTTCCAATAACACCACCACTCAAAATCCAAAGAAGAATGTTCAAAACCTAACCTGTTGAAGTTTCAGCTCTTTGGATATATAACACTGTTTGAGAAAACAGTGAAAAACCATCACAACGAAACACGATTTGTCAATAGTACTCTTTTTTGCTGAAAATCAGTCAACTCACGGTCATTGGAAATCACTTCAATAGATTTCTTGATTTCTTCTTAATGACAGCAAGTCAGTCGGGAAATTTCACGGGGTGTTTAGTACAAGTACAATCATTAATCCAAGTAAGGATTTTGATAATAATTTGGTAGGTTACTTTCGGGATAAATGCAAATGATCCTACATGAATTTAACTTATGACTGGACTTGTGATTGACTTGGTGTGGAATTGTGAACCATCCATGGAGCTATATTAAATTACTAGAGCGCTAACTCCTCATTCTTGCGCGCAGAGACGCTTTGAAGCCGTCCTGGGCGCAGACATTTTGAATTCATGTGCGTGTTTGTAGAACATAATGAAATTAGATGGATTGAATTGTAAAAGTGTACTCTAAATGCAACGCGCAAGTGGAACGTATGCAAACAACTTAAGCGTGTCATTACGGTTTGAAAAAACGTCAAGGTTAATCATCTGCAGCAGATACTGCAGCGGATACGTACACGTGTTGCGCTGTTTGCGTAAAGCAAAATGACACGCTCATTTGCTGATCGTGTGTTTCGGTTTTGGGCGTATCGGCTTCGGTAACGCACCTGTATAGAATACAAACGTAGATATGCAAATAGCCGTACAAAAGCCGTACACAATTTACAGTTTCCCATAGGTTTGTGCACGAACATGGATGCGCCCAGCAGGCATCACTTTGTACATGAGTCAGCGCTCTAGTAATTTAATACAGCTCTATGGAACCATCACAAGTGCCTCGACGACAAGACTGATGTGGTAGCCCAACTCACCCCATCCTAGGCTGCTGGATGACTGAGGTCTCTTTGAAGACCTTTTCCACTCCTCGGTTCGGTTGACTTGGTAGTCGGAGAACATCTCGCTCTCGGGCCTCAGGTCTACCTCAATGGTGCGGGACCGCGTGCTGCAAACTGACACACTACTGACTGTGGACCTGCAAACAGTTATAATGCGTCTGTGAGTTCTCCAAATCCAGCCGCGGACAATTTTTAAGGGCACTGGTAACAGTTATTTTTACAGCAGTCCTCGAAATTGCAACCTCGTGACCCATTTAAAGGTATAGACCATCATTTGTAATTTGTGCATTTTGTTCGTTTGAAGCAACAAAAGTGCTCAAGATCTAAAGAAGGGTGCTAAACAACTAACCTGATGAAGTTTCAGCTCAGCTTTAGCTGTATATTTTGAGAAAAAACAACATTCTAGGATCTCGATTTCAAATCAAAAGTTGCAGAATCACGTTTTGAATTGGGCCTGAATTCAGCGTCCGAGACACGTTCTCACTGAGCCGATTGCAGCTATGCACTGTCGCGCACTGATCCGACGAATTATAGCAACCGTGCGCGTGTGCGTCGTGCCAATGCTTGCGCGCACTTCGCTGAATAACAAAAAGAACTTTAGAAGCACCATTGGAAAGGCCTTCTTTTGTTGATTTCTTCAAAATGACAGCTTGCCAGAAAGAATAATTTCACAGGGAGTTTAGTCCCCTTATTATCTTTTACCCAAGTATGTTTTTCAACAATAATTATGCCAGTTACTTTTTCGATAGCTGCAAATGATGGACTCTGGCTTTAATCCAATACCACCTGTACTACATTGTATTACATTGCATTAAATCAGTGAAGAACCAATAAAACCATAGAGTGCTCAGGTGGTTTCCGGTGCTACAATTAGTAATAGGCAGGGTTTTTACGCTAATGATAATTATACATTCATGAGCAAAACTGTCATGTCTTCCAAGCCGATGCTTCAGTGTTATGGCTGCATGCTTCAGAATCTAAAACTGCCAGACTTTCGGCTTTTTTGGCAGGGGCTGCTTTTGTATTCATTGTTGTTTATGTTCAGTTAGTCAATGAGCAATCTTTGTGCACAAATGTTTCGATGAGCACATATTTGGCTCACATTTGAACAGCAAACACCAAGAGTGAAAAGTACATGCAAGTGCCTTAAACATGTTAAATGGCATCACAGCAACAGTATCCTCAGTTGTCGGGAAAAGCATGGAACATATCAAATGCTCGAAAAAGTGCGATTAACAAAACATTGGACCACAAAAGGGATGTTATGTCGTTAATACATTTTGAGGAATCGATATTTGAACAAAATATGTTCCAGCGTAAAATCCATGTCATGGACGCTTTAAACAGAAACTATAGTTCAAAGAATGAAAGAATTTTGGGGTTTCTATTCTTACTTAGCAGATGATGCTCTCGATAGTCCACTGGCTGGCTTGGTCGTCATGGGAATATCTCTGGATAACGAAAAAGACAGAATCACGAGATGACCAAATAGGGAATTGAGAACCACATTTGTAGCGGAAAAAAACCCCAACAAAAAACATAATTGACTCTGTGCATGGTCAGTACATGGTGCTACCAGTAATGTGAGCATTCGTGTGACCTCTTGGAGTGGAATAAAATAATAATACTACTACTAATAATAACAACTTGGGAGCTAACCATCCCTACTCGCAGCTGAGAAGTTGAGCTGCGAACGACGCGGCTACAATGTGGTCGACCCAAAGGCATGTAAAGGCGCCTTAGGCAACCGCCATACGACCCATGTATGACCACGGAGCACAGCCAGATCGAAAGTGTTTAATTTTTGTGGATGGAGGAAAACCGAAGGGCCCGGAGAAAAACCCTTGTGGCACAGGAGAGAATCAACGCACAACTTTACTCACATATGGTCCGAGCAGGGAATTGAACCCGGGCCACAGTGGTGAGAGGCAAGCGCTTGACGCACTAGCCACCCATGCCACCCCAAATATGGACTCTGCAAAAGTACCCCCTGGATGGTCACAAAGAGAAAGCTTGGGGAGACAACTGGGGGGGGGGGGATATTCAAACGCATTGTGGATGGTACTTGAGGCTCACGCCAAGATGCACAGGTTTTGGGACACTCAGAATCAAATTTGTTGTGCGTACTTTGCGGCGCATGCGCGTGAACCAGTGGGTGCGTGCCGTGTCTACCAACTAGAGGAACAAGTTTTCCTTTGAATGTGCACAAACCAACCTACATGTATAATGCGAATGGAAAATGAAGTCCAAAGGCTGGTTCACACAAAAATTTGCGGCAAAATTAGCCAGAAAGTGTTCAACTTTTGCAAAATTTCTTTCACAGCATGAAAACTTCCCATGCACTCACAAATTCTAATTCGCGTTGGCTTTTGCGCCGAGCATGACTCAGCTTTCTCTATCGTTGTTACCCTTGAAGCTCTACTTACATACTGTACATGTATGCGCTGAGTCTTACATAAGTATAAAAAAATATCATTTATGATTTGGAAATGACACCAACCTTGTGTCAGTTTGTTGGTGCATACTTTCCTCCACTGACTGTAGGCTGTTCCTCCTTGTACTGGATGCAGTCTGGGAGTTGGCTTCTGAAATCTCCTCCAAGATTTGATCATCCGCCGCCCTCTCCGTCAATCCACTGATACAAAGGAATGGGAATAACGTGACATGCAATGTAGCAATGAGCGTAATCATAATAAAAATAGATTTCACAGAATGGAACTTCGATGGACTTGTGATGGACTCACCTGCGATACTGGTATGGTATCAATTCGGGCGATTCACAATGCAGTGAGCCACCAAGAGTTTGCCACGGAGAGTTTGTTTTTCCCAGTGCATTGTGGGAGATAGTTGACAAATTTGCAGTGTGGGACATGTGAATTGTAAGTTTTTCCGGTCAGTAGAGTTTCATAAGCAGATGATTCGAGTATATGTATGCCCTTTTCTTTTGTTTTTATCAATATGGTGTTTTTTGTAAGGTGGCACAAATGCTATGCCCCAATCTAGAACAAATTAGCTCATGTTGTCTACTGACATTCATTCAAATGGGCGGTGTTTTGTCAACCGTAAATTTGAAAAATGGACTCTCCATGGCAAACTCTTGATGGCGCACTGTATTGCGAATTGCCCGAATTATAGTGTCATGGGTTATTGGCCCTGAATCACGCAAGAAATTTGCGACTTATTCACAGAAGCTGCAGTTTTCAAGGAAACTTACTCCAAGGAGCGGGCAGACAAGGGTCTCTCTTCTTTCCTACTTGGTCCATCTTGAGTCGCTTCCTTTTCTCTTTTCGCTGCATCCTTCCTCGGGCTCGCCAAGCCCTCGTTGTTGGATTTCACCACCTCCATTGCGCATTTCACGCAGTCATAAAGCACGCCCTCGGGAGGCTTGTCACTGCCTTGGGGCTCTGACTGCTTGACTTCTCGGGGCGAGGCAGGTTTATTTTTGACTGGGGCGGGGGCGGGGTCATTCAGATCGACAAAGTTAATCTGCGGGGAGATTTTGAGACGTTCGCGGAGGAGCATCGACACAGAACGGGGTAAATCTTCAGTCTGAAAATTGAAAAACAGAAAGTTGAAAATAAAAACAGAACTTTGAAAAGTATTCAATACAAATTCTTAAACAGAGCCGATGCCTTAAAGGCGTAAAGGATCATTGGCATCAGTGGTAATTTCATGAAATGGATAATTTTGTCACCGACACCACAAACTGACACTCAGTTGCGTGTGAGTGTGCTGCACGCGGTCGTATTTTACAGAACCGTTTTTTTTTCGTGTTCACCAGTTGACACCCGTCACAGTGCGGCACCTTTAGTGCGCGCTCCATACATTTGTACATATTCGTTTTCACGAACTGACACTGATCTTAATTTCACTAGTTAAAACAGTTTTTAATTAAGTTTTTGAGTAAGCCCACAAGTACACAGATGGATCAAATTCATGTCAAACCTTTCAAAGCGTTTTTCTCCGTACTGTATTTCAGCAACATGCTTGAGTGTCAGTTCGTGAAAACAAAAATCGTTCTATTTTGCATCAGTGTCCAATGTGCGCTCACAACCAGGCGTCAGTTCGGGAAACCGAAATTGTTGATTACGCTGTTTTCACGAACTGACACCCACTTGTGCAGGAGTGTCAGTTTGTGGTGTCGGTGACGATTTAAGGGCTATTAATTTATAGCAGACATCCTTCCACTGAGCTGTTCAATGTATTGTCTCAATAGGTTGTGCAAAAACCAAAAAACGCTGTTCTTTTTCAACCATCAAAGTGCACTTCGCAGAATCTGTCGTGCATAGAACCCATAAGTCACAGGGAGTGCCCGAGTGCCGGCTTTATCATGGGAAAGCAATGTATATACCTGGCGTACCCTAGTGTACACATGAAGTCAACAGCTGGCTCGCAGCGCCATTTTAATGCATGCAGTATTTGAGAAACCGTTTGTTCTCAGGATGGTTAGGTCAATAACCATCGTTAGTACTGATACAAAATTCCTCTTTTCATGAAAATGAAGGCTCATACTAGGCTCAACGATTTCACAGGATATTTCATGCCATTATTTACTTACAATCAAGTCTGCCATTTCTTAATATTTTTGGCAGTTTCATTTTTTAGGTTTTGCAAATGAACCTATATACCTTTAACACAGAGTCAGAGGAAAATGGTTTTGTAAAGCGCGCTAGGGTAGGCAGGAGTAAATCTTTTGTGTTTTCATTGTAACTAAATTAAAATAACAAAAATCACCCTCTGAAGGGCCATGCACATTATCCAAAATATCTGTGTAGTACTCTTGCAATTGACCTATTGCCGTTCACAAGCTTATCCAATCACAGCGTTTGTTGAATACCACGTGATATTCCAAACCTTGAACAAACAAAACATTCCAAACACGTGCAATCCACCAGCATGTGCATCCCTCCGGCCTGTTCGCTGATATGCAATACGCGAATGCACGTCAATTTTTCTGGCAAATCAACAAGATGCACTGCATGCGTCATGCTTAGCTTTATCAGCTACAGGCATGTACATGTACATATCCATACACGTGCGGTCCATACATCATGTACACATACACAGTGAGAAAAAGTGCCTCAGAAATCTAAGACAACGCTTTAAGAGTGCGTGTGTAATGTGCCGCTGTACGCTACCAGTAGCGCGTATACATGTGTACACAAGTGCGTCTCGTGTTCCAAGTTGTCTTGTCTTCCTGTTTTATGACTCACCTCAGCCACTGGTGATGGGGGTAGCTGTGGGTCCTCTCTGGGGCTGTAAGGGGGCGTGTTCCCTGTTCTCGGGCTGGTGGGAGGGTTGGCTGGCGGTAACTCATCCACATTCTGGATTGTTATTCTACAAAAGTATGTCAAAAGGGTAGATTTCATTGTTTTTTACAGAAAAACAACAGAATTGTTTTAATATTTTTTTTTTTTAAATAATGTTTTTGAAAATCAAATCAAGAAACCACTCAGGGTTAGACACTAAACTAATGAAGAGGAAAACAAACTAGCATATAAAGCCAAAGGTTGAATCATCTTCCTGTCTGGCCAGTGACTTCACAAAGTGCACACAGGAAGTGGGTAAATAACTGCCAGTTTGCAAACTGTTTTGTCACAGGAACCATCTCAATAAACTATCCAGGATAAGTTGCAGAAGGTTTTATACGCAATAGACTCACGGTATGGGCTCCACGCACAAGTACCCCCTCAACGATAAGAAAGGGAGAACTGGGGGAGACCACTTGGTACGTTAGGGGTATCTGGGGTGTTCATACGCTCAGCATCACAGCCAGAGGTGTTGGGGCTGGCTAGCCCAATTTGGGTGAAAAGCGAAAAGAAGTAGCCTGCCGGTGAACCATGGAGCACTCAAGTCAACCTCTCCTCAATACTGGAAACTAGCATCTTGCATCTAGGCCAACAAGGCTCTGGCCAAGGCATGGAAAACCCTGAGTAATAAACCTACTGCTCAGGGCCAACAACCTGCCCTGTTACGGAAACTGTAAGTGAAACTCAAATCCCAGCTGATGCCGGAAGTGGTCTTGGGGAGACGACGGTCCAGTACCAGAGGATGATAATATCATGTATGTGGACAGCATGATGCTTCTGGACCAAAAGCCGAAAAGACGTTCAGAGGCCGACTACGTCGATATTAAACCAAGCCAAAAGTTAAGTGAAGGCTAGAAGATGGAAGTGGATTGGTCATGTTCTGAGAATGGAAGATAACTGCCACTGTAGGACAGCAATGACATGGGTTGCTGAGGGCAGGAGGAAAGTACAACATGGAGGCGTACTGCAGAGAAAGAAACAGCTAGGATGGAAGTCTTGGAATGGAAGTCTTGGAATGGAAGTCTTGAAATGAAGCCAAACCTGTGGCCAAAATCAGAGCAAACTGGAGAGAGTGCACTTATGGGCCACTCGGCCCGAAGAGGATAGGTGAGATGACTGGGAGCATTATTTGAACTCATTGCCAATGACCCCAAACGCTCACGCAAAGACGTTGTGGGTTTATGCACATTTAGCATAAATCAGTCATACGTACTTCGCACTACACAAGCTTGAACCAGTACATGCATACTGTGTGTCCCGTCCGCTGGCCTCTCGAAAGTGGTTAAAGGTACAGTCCATCATTTGTAATTTGTGCATTTTGTTCGTTTGAAGCAACAAAAGTGCTCAAGATCTAAAGAAGGGTGCTGAGCAACCAACCTGATGAAGTTTCAGCTCAGCTTTAGCTGTATATTTCGAGAAAAACAACATTCTATGATCTCGATTTCAAATCAAAAGTAGCTGAATCATGTTTTGAATTGGGCCTGAATTCAGCATCCGAGACACGTTCTCACTGAGCCGATTGCAGCTACGCAATGTCGCGCACCGAATTATAGCAACCGCGAGCGCGTCGTGCCAATGCTTGTGCGCGCTTTGCCGAATAACAAAACGAACTACTAATTTGAATTTCCTACGGTGCTTCTTAAGAAGCACCATTGGAAAGGCCTTCTTTTGTTGATTTCTTCAAAATGACAGCTTGCCAGAAAAAATAATTTCACAGGGACTTTAGTCCCCTTACTATCTTTCAACCATGTAATGTTTTTCAACAATAATTAAACCAGTTACTTTTCGGATAGCTGCAAATGATGGACTCTGGCTTTAAAAAAGGTGCTGTCTCTGTTTTTCGCGCACGGAGCCCATGGTGGCCTTTTACTGTACCGGTACCTCCATTCACAGAAAATCATGTCATCTATTTGCAAACAATTTTTCAACTCTGCCTCAACAATGCTGCGGTTGTGCTTAATTTGTCATCAACCCAATTCTAATACTCCCTTTGAAAGTTTGGACCCACCTGTCGCCTGTGGTTCCCACCGGTTTCCAGTAGTGATACTGCGCATCCCATGCCACCTGTGCCATATCAATGTAGCAGTAATTCTGGTCAATGTCGCCGGTACTCGTCACTACCGAGCCATTAGGTGCTGTAAGTAGAGGGAATGAATGAATGAATAGAAGATTGAATTTCAGCTTGGAAAGTTTATTATGTATCTATTAGTGTTTGTTTTTTGCTTTTAAAGGAAATGTGAAACTCCACAAGTGCAACCAATTCTTTCATTTTTAATATTTAAACTTAAAATGTGGTCAAAAATGAAAGATTATTTTATTAACTCACATGTCTTTCACTGAAACCTTAGATTTATTGTCATGAAATTAACTACAATAACTACAGACTCGAGTCTAGTCTGAGTCACTGAAATTGCGCCTCAAGAAAGACTGAAGTCCCAGTCCTGGGGCCGAGTCCCACAACAAAGAAATTAACTGAGGCAGTATTTGAACCTGCAACCTCATGTAACTAAGCTGCCAATCCCCATGTGTTTTTTTTCTGTTTGTCCATGTTCATTTACTTCTTACTTATCTTGAGGAGTAACACTTGGTGCAACACAGCAGAAAGCAGTGCACTTTACAGAAAGCAATGGACAAGCTTACAGGCCAAGCAATGAAACGCAAACAAAAACATTTCAGTGCAACTCATAGCTCAATGTGCATCAGTGGCGATATTTCAAGACTCTACAAATCCTCTAAAAAATCATTGCATATCTCTGTTAATACTCGACACAGCCAATCAAAGCAAGCAACAAGCTACAAGCATCCAACATGTATGCATCAACCAATGAAATAAGAGCGCTATATGTTGCATGGCCAGTAACCGCTTGTTCAAATATCACATGACTGGGAAAAAAGACAAACACCCCCGCCCCACCCCGGCCCCACTCTATTTTCATATCGGTTGTGGTCTTAATTGCCTGGTATTAAATAACTGTTCTGAAAAAAAAAAAAAGATCAAATGAAACGATGAGGACGTTGCTAGACAACAACTTGTGCTTTGATAGACCTTTTGCAGACCACCAAGATGGATGAAATGTGATGGATCTACCAAATATGACACTGCCGAATAATGACGTTTACAGTTTAAGCAAGCAAATAACAAACTTGCAACAAACTTCATTGAACATTTCTTTGTTTGCTAAAATCACTTTTTTTTTTCCCTTGCACAGCACACACAACATCTTCTTTGTTCTTCCAATTCGTGCTTCTTTTTAACTATTTTCACGGCAACCAATAAAATAATCTCTGCAAACAGTACCTTCAGCTTTTAGGTTTAAAATCAGGTCTGGTGAAGTCGGAAGGGCAACAGAAAACAAATAAATTAATGCGGGTCAGCAAAAGAAATGTGAACATTAATACATGTATATCACATGTGAAACTTACTGCAGTCCAAGAACCTGGTGGGAATGACATTCAAACTCAATATGTTAAAATAAACAAAGTTTGTTGGTGTATTAACAATAACACAGTAGAGATGTTGGGCGCATCGGCGGATCTGCGCTACCATACGATCGCGCAGAAAACGTACTTGTGCGACCGGTCGATCCTGTACAAAATCTCAGACTTTACTTCCCTTTTTCAAAACAATCCTCCAGAGCCTTCAATTAAAAAGACAAGGTTACCGACTGATGGCAGCAGGATAACCGGTGAAAGTAGGATCGATCGATAGTGCGGCGCGATCGACCAATCAAGCAGATCCACCAATCGTGCCCAACAGAGGTATAATGGAAAATATTGTATACAAATTGTAGAATGCTGACAATACTATAACTCCACACCTCCTAAACGTCTCATTCTGAAAAAGGAAAAAGCCACACTCTGGGAGTCAGGTTGGCACTGCGGTACTTTCCTCGCCTTCCACCTCTGTGACCGGCCATGTTCGAATCCCGCCTGATTCCGTGGGTTTCCCCAGAATAATCTTCCAGGGTTTTTCTCCCACCTCTAAAACTTGTAAATCTGCCCCCTGTCTCCTTTCGACTATAGTTTCTTCAGGCTTGCGAGCTACAGTGCCTAGGGTGCTTTTGAGGAATCCTATAAGGTCCAATGCAATGTGTTTTTTAATGCAATCCTTGAAAATGCACATTTTTGTCCCAGTTAACCATATTTTCAATTTCAGTTTTGCCATTCTCAAGGTATTTACTTGCTTTTTTATGCTAATGCAAATTTTCATATTCATGAGCAAAAGTGTGATATCATTTCAGGCAGAAACCTCATTGTTGCAGCTAGTTCAGCACAAAAAGTTTTAAATTTTTTTGATATTTTGCTGATTTGTTGTTGTTTGAGTAAATGGCAGTAAGCCAATGAGCAAACTTTCCCCACGATTCCTTTGACTGAGCAAATTTTCGGGTTCCTGCATGTCCTGAAATGATATCACAGCAACAGCGCCATCAGTTGTCTGGAACAGCATGGAACATGCTGTTTAAAGTTTAAATGGGTTTAAGTGCTCTTTTCAATCAAATTAACCAAAATGGGATTTCAAACAGTTTTCATACATTTAAGAGGAGTAGAAAGTTGCAAAAATGTGTTCCTAAAACAATTAATAAATGGAACCCAAATTGAGGTGTTATACAACACATATACTTTCTGCTTCAATTTGTGGTGCAGTAAAACTAGCTTCACCTGAGGGAGATAATTTTACAATATCACTCAAAGCAGTTACTATTTGTACAATATCCCACCTGGAATACTATCCATCTGCACCAATGCGACGTCACACTCCGGCAGTGCAATGATAAACCCCAGATTCTGCGGGGCCAGCAGCATCTTGTCCCCCAGCCTGGGCTTGCGTTGCTGCGGTCGTCCTGTGACCCTCAGGCCCTGGGCCGTCGCCGGTCGGCCGCGGGAGGTCAGAGGTCGTTCTGGGCTGGGCCGGCCGATGGTCAGGTACTTGCTGGCGTGGACGGGGGAGGACTGGGGTCTCCTGGGTAGGGCTTTGGGCGTCTGAACGGTTGCAATGTAAAATTGGCAAATACTAGTTGTTTGTGTTGGAAGCCAGTAATAAGAATATTTAGTTGCTTTAACCCATGAGGGTTTAAAACCCCTCCCCCCCCCAAGTATACAAGCCTGGCTTGGCTGGGATTCCCTTGTTCAGGACACTCTTGGTGTTTCTGTTGAGTATGTTCAAACCCTCACCCCACCCTCCCCATCCCCCCAGGAAGTATATTGACAGCCCTTCAAACAAGCCACCCGGCTGTGACCTCCCCAGCAAGTCATGGGTCAATCTCAACAGAATACGCTCAGGTGTCGGCCGTACTAAGCATTTCCTGTACAAAACAGAAGCTGAGCCATCCGACACCTGTGAGTGCGGCGAATCGCAAACCATCGAGTATATTGCCTGCAACTGCAACATCTACCAAGCTCCACATGGTTTCGAAGGCATCTAGACGATGACGCAGCAGACTGGCTTTCTTCCAGTCTGCCCGTTTAAAACACCAAGGTGGCGATCACACGCACGAACGCGTGAACCCTATCACCCCACCCCTTCCACGAGGCATATGAGCCCATGATACAGAAAGCAAATAGGTTCAGCAGCTCTTAGCTGGGATTCTGTTGTACAGGACATTCTTGATGATTTGTTGAGAGTTTTCAAACCCATCCCCCCCCCCCTCCCCTCCCCATCCCTTCCAGTGTTGTAGTCGAGTACTTTCTTCCGAGTACTGTACTTCCGAGTAGGAGTACGAGTACAAGTACTTGTATTTTCGAATACGGCCATATGGCAAATGGTTCATTGTGCGTAATGGGCCCAGGTCCAGTCAAACAGATATACAGACCCACTCACGGCTGGCTGTTAGATGTGTTTGTCCGGACGTGCACAGAAGAAACTCAGGAAACTTCGATTTCTCCACAAGCCAATCAACCATTCAAACTGAAATTATCGATAAAATAAGGCCGTGGTATGTAGTCAAGCTACACCTTTTTTCCCCCCGAGCACTGCTATTCGAGTACGAGTACTTCGATGATCGAGTACAATTTTGACATGTCGAGTACGAGTACTTTGCTGCCTGAGTACGAGTACCGTCATTTCGAGTACAAGTACTTTGACATTCGAGTACGAGTACAAGTATGAGTACTCCAAAAAAAGTACTCCAGTAGTACTCGAATACGAGTACTGAGTACGAGTACTACAACACTGATCCCTTCCCCCTCCTATCTCCCCTTCCTATCCCCATCCACCCTCTCCCAAGTGTCAGAGCATATGATACTCACAGAAAGCACATAGGTTGAGGAGCTCTTGGCTGGGATGCCTTTGTTCAGGACGCTCTTGGTGTTTCTGTTCAGCGCACCGATCAGAAACTCAGCTACCTCTTCAATAATTCTCCGAAGTTCACCCTAAAATGAAAAGTCCAGAGACGCTTAATATTTCTGTCACTTAAGTTACAGGCACACACATGAGACTCTCGTCTTTACTTATGTAACTATCCATTTCAAAAGATGAAAACAAATAAGTCAAAGAGTTTAGCACTGAACAAAATTGGGAAGTGTTACATATACTTTAAATATGTGATGCTATCAAGCTACATGAGTCGTTTGTCGACCCTGGTCAAAACAATGTTATTACAGATTTGAAAAGAACACAATCTCAGCATTGCTGCTGTGAAAACCGCATGCCGATACCATCTTTAGTTAAAAAATTATAAAAGTTTGAACACCAAGAGATGTGATGAAGTGATGTGATGAAGTGGCCCTATTTTGGCCTGTATCTCCAAACAAAAATTCCCGACAAACGACTCATTTAGCTTGATCACATCACATATTCAGAAAGAAAATACACAAAGATCTAAATAATTTGTGAATAATGGAGCACTTTCCAAATTGTGAAAATTATTTGCATCTTTGTAAAAAATGCTTTTTATTATATTGTATTTAATGAAGAATTACTAATGAAGAATTACATCTATTCTCAAATTGCCCCAACACCCTCTTCAAGTTTACAGGCCTACAGCAGATTCCTTATCTCAAACAAAAGATTACGAAAATGTGGATGTGTGCATGGAATTTGATGGAATAGCACTCTGCAATCACCAAGCAAGTAATAAAATCAATACAACATCTCAACTTTGCCCATCCCTTCAAAAAACTTTTGAAAAGGATCAAAAACATGTCACAAAATAAAAAATTATAATAAGGATTAGGCTTGTGCAGTATTGGATTTTAGGAGTCCATGTTACACCATCATATTCGGTATTGCCAGTCACTTTTCTTCAAGGACTATGTCACTAATAGAGAAATAGACACAGCCTGTCTAAATACCCTGACTGTAATTCCTTTTTTTTTTGCACACATCTGGGCACACACACTGAAATTTGTATCCTTGCGGAGACATTTCTTTGTTCTCGTTTAGTAAGGTTTTCGAGTTTGAAAGTGAAGTTTCAAAATGCTCTTGTTTTAACCAGAATTAATTTCTTTGGCTGAAGTTCGGACTTAATATCCCTTTTCTAAAACTCTTCCATTTGCGACGGATCAACCCACCTTGGAAATCCTAGTTTTTGAGTAAAATCCATATATCTACTTCGTGAAAACCTTGTGGAGACGTACCGGTATTCATCTATAGAAATTGCCCTGTGGAGACGTATACAATCTTTTGTTCCCTATTGTGTGCACGTCTCCAGAGGGCACGGTGTATCAGATCCCAATTTCACGGCGCTGTTTATCAGATGGCAGAAAAGTTGTGCTTAGCGTAGCAGAAAAATTTGCTAACCTTAAGCACTATTTCACGGCGAGGATATGCTAACAGTCGCACGTGCATGGAGATTTCTATTGTGACGTCACTAAGTTAAGCAAATTTTTCCTCTGAAGTAAGCGTGCCTTTTGCTGAGCTTATGCTTGCGGTCTCCATGAAATAGACGGAGGCTCGCTAAGCATAAAATCGTGTGCTTAGCAGCGTCGTAAAATTGGGCCCTGGCCACTGTTAAGAGGAAATACCGTGGTACTGAATTTCTGTACCGAGTTCGTAGGCATCTTGTTATTTTTACAACACTGTTCGGTATTGCTCAGTAAAAAAAAAATTGCTATACAGTATTACAGAAAAATTGCCTGAGCCTAATCATGTCCTACCCCTTGTTGCTTGATTCTCTCAATGAGATTCGCCACTTTATCCACGATGGAGACATCTGCCGTTGCCATGGATACTAGGTGCATGACACCAGACTCCTTGGTGATGTAGTCAAAGAAGACGGGCACGATGCAGAATAGCTGGACCACCTCGGCAGCAAGGAGCGACTTGAACTCCTTGAAACTAAAATTCCAACAACAACAAAATTATGAAATCTGTATAAACCCAACCCCCCAAAATGAGTCATAAGTCACGTAAGTGATATAGGCCTTTTTACACAACTTGAGCAATGAAAAGGGTCAAGGGTCAAGGGTCAGGTCTAGGATAATCCCAGGGTCATCCCTTCATCCGTCTTTTTAACTCTTAGAAGCCTTTAAAGGCATACAGGATCAGTGGCATTTATCCCAAAAGCAACCTACAAAATGACAATGTATTATCAAAAAAGCTTACTTGGATCAAAATGGGACTAAACATCCAATTATTCCGAACAGTTAGAACACATAATAAATTGCTTTTTTGGATGAAACTGATTTTTGTGTTACTTTGTTGAAATAGTGATAACATTTTTTACGTGTAGAGCAATAATTTTCTCTCTTAAAAGTAGTTAAATACATGGGCTGGAGAGTCTTAAATAATTTGGTGCTAGATATTTTTTTTATGTGAAATATATTTCTTTGTTTTTTGGGGTTGCGTTTTTTTTTTTACTTGCCCTGTACAAAAGTTTATTATTTCATTTTCATTTCAACTACGCTCTTAACTTACTCCTCAGCTGAAACGATATTCCGAGGTGACGCCTGTGGTGAAGCGGTATGAGGACTTGCATGCATCTTCTTGTAAAGCTCAGTAACGGTGTGATAGAGACAGAGATACAAGCGGTCATACAGACCCCCATCCTATAGGACAGACAGGGGAAGAGAAGGGCAGACATGGTCAATGAGGTTTTGTTCACCGGAAGGGGAGTGGGGGGGGGGGCATGATAGCTGAGGCAAAACAAGGATGCCTTTTGCCCAAAAGGGTAAACAAAAAACAATGGGCACTATCACACAAGATATCCGTGAGATACCTCACAAAAGTCTGGAATTAACAGTTAGGTTAACCAAACATTATTGAGGATCAGGGCTTTTGGTTGGGTAATTATGTAATTGTGATATATTCTTAACCAGTTCTCGCTGGGATTATTTTGACAAGAATGGAATGAGGCGCGAGACTACTTTTCACTTGACCTCAAGCCAGGCGGGTTGAAGCCATCACCCTCGGGCAGCACACTCATATTTCCGGCTTAGCTCACAGCGAGCGGGTCGCTGACAGGTATTTCCGGCCTCGCTCCCTGCGTGTTTATCTGTCATCCGTTCTGAATACCGCAAAACTTGTTTCTGTTTTCTCAAAATGAATATTAGCCACTTTTCACCGTTGAAATCCAAAGCTAGACCACTAGGCTGAGGTACTTACTTTTTTACTGTCTCTGTCCACTTTGACAGCGCTGAGAAGCAGTGAGGCAATTTGACATCGGTGGTCTCGAGGCATCAGGAACAACTCAAGTGTTTTGATTCCCCTGAAATCATTCCAGACAAAAAGTCTTAATTAGGCATCGTGTACAATCTTTCCTAGCACACTGCCCCTCTGTTAAAGGGACATAACATCTTGGTATGCGCCCAATTGGGCTACAAAACACGTTTTAAATAAAATGATGTTAACTGGAAAGAACACTTAAAAGGAGGATATTAACGTCTACACAACCATCTTATAAAAACTAGGTATTTTTGTGTAATTCTTCCGAGAAAAAAATTTCGGGGGTAAAATTTTTGACTTTCAAAAACTGAGCTGTTGAGTGCCAGTTGTGAATACTGCCGCGCAGTTTTTTCATTCTGTGGACGTGCGAGAAACAACATTTGTGTATTGGTGCTGTGTGTATTGGTGCTGTGTGTATTATGTGACACACACACACAACGTGTAGGCCTTACACTAAACGGACACGGCTGGAATTACATATGGGTATGCCACAGAATCTCCGCCACGTCCCGATGTAAACAACCGTTTTTTTTTCTTTTCTCGGGAACGGTAAAACATTAGGTTAGTTTCGTTCAACCAGACCTTTGGAAAAGGATAAGTAAACAATCCAAGAGATGTTTGTACACAAACCAGGCTTCCCTCCAAAATTTTAAAATGAGATTCCATGACTTTTCCATGACTTTCCATAATAGCTTAAATTCCAGGATTTTTCAGAATTTTTCTGTAACTGTGTGAACACTGAAATAAGAAATTCACAATTAAGCCAATAAAAAAATGATGTTTGAATTTAAATATACCCCTCTTATTTTTTTAATTCAAAACCATGTTTTGATAAAAAATTAAAAAAACTAAATAAATAAATGTAAAAAAAAAAAAAAAATTCATTCATTCACTTACCCAACATCTGTCAGTTTGGCAGCACTTAGCGTTTCCTGAACGAGGTAGGTGGGCAGGGAGAATTCTAAAGAAGCTACCAACAGAAGCAGGAGGACGTTACATCGATCCCGCTCCTTGGGTCTGGCATCCAGAAGGCTCTCCATGAAAGTGGACTGGTAGAGTTTCAACCTCTGGTCACTGTTTGAACAGACAACTCACGGTTTTAATATAGGTCATTTTTCAAACCTTGACTTTGTTTACAACTGAGGCTTATGCAATTGGAAGCAAACATCTTTGAAATGGTTTGAACATTATATGCCAATAAAGCCAACTAGGGTAGGTACAAAGTTTAAGCCAAAGCTTGAGATGAACCTAAGTTTGAGAAATGGCCTTAGGAATCTGGAACATGTGTACATTTGTTACACCCAACTATAGTAATGGCCCAAACTATAGTTTGGGAACTATAGCTGGGACAATCCAAACAACAGTTGGGACAGTGGCATTATTGGGGTGTAACACGTCACTACAATAAGTTACAATGTCAAGGGTGTCAATTGCTTCTCAAAAGTGACTTTCTTTGATCAGAAGTAACGGCGTGCAGTTCGGGGCCCGCTTTAAGGGATTTTGGATTCTAGACATTCTGTGGTGCGATCTGAGGCAATTTCTGACCACTTTAACCAATCAGCTATTCTGAAAACTAGAATCAAATGTAGGATACAATTTTTATTCAGGTACAAAAACAGTGGGGGGGGGGGACCAAACTACCGGTACATGTATATGATATCCCTCCCACTTTAAAAAGTGGGGGACATGTCCCCCTCCCCCTCCCTCCCCCTACGATCGACGCCCATGACAATAGTGAATTAATGGCTAAAAAAAAAAAAGCAAAAATTTAAGGTCTCTTTTGCTAAAATAAACAGAATTTGGAAAATGCTGCCATTCACAATTGGGTTGCCATTCACATTTGGGCTGCCATTCTCATTTCATTTCTTGCCATTTTTGGCTGCTAAGTTCAATGTCACCCAAGGGAAGGAGAACCCCTAGACAGAAACAATGTTTCTTTTGGGCAATCCTTCGGGAGCTGAATGGTATTTTGTTTTTGTTTGTTTGTTTATGTATCTAAAGCTTTTGTTTTTTTGTGTTGTAAGTTTAGTCATTTGTTTACATGTATTTGTTGATTTATTCCCGAGAAATAAAATAGTAAATAGTAAATAGTAAGGGAAGAAATAACTGTAAAAATGCAGTTTTGCTAAAAATGTTTTTCTCTTTTTTTTCATAATACCACTGAAATGTTACTTTTCAATTTGAACCAAGTACACCCAAGACGTTTACGAGCACACGTCACCTTTTCCTGTGCTGTACTTCCAGCTGAAGATCGCGCTGCAAACAGAAGCACAGATACTTCAGTCTCCTGTTGTCCGTCTCGACGTTCAGGGCGCCGTTCGTTGGAAATCGCATCATGAAGTGAGTGGTCTGCATGGTAAAATGGAGATAAGAAATCAACGCACCATTCACGTGCTAATATTAAATGACCAGGAGTAACAGCAGCAGGTAGCTTATTTATTTATTTTATGGTCATGAAACCAAGGATTCCTCAAAAGCGCCCTTGGCACTGTATCTCGCAAGCCTGAAGAAACCAGTAGAGAGAAAATAAGAAAAAAGTACACTTTTAGAAGTGGGAAGAAAACCCCAGAAGAATATTCTGGGAAAACCAACGGAATCAGGTAGGGACTGAAAACCCAATCCACATGTGGACCAGGGCAGGAATCAAAGGGTGATGAAAGAAACACTGCCCAAACCTGAGTCCCCACAAATGTGAGGAAAAATAGCCATCGAGACACAAGTAAACTGTCAATGAGTGAAATTTATTAAAATGAAAGTTCCAAGCTTTAACCAGTTCGTGCCAGGATAACTTTGACATTGACCGGACCCAGGCGCGGGATTGTTTTCACGAACCTCGATGCCAGACGGGTTCAGGCCATCACCTGCGGGTAGCACACCTTGATATTTCCAGCCGCGCTCGCTGCGAGCGGGTCGCAGACAGATATTTCCGGCCTTGCTCGTTGCGTGTTTATCCGTCATCTGTTCCAAATACCACAAAACCTCTGCCTGTATACGCGTCATCCGATATGAACTGGTTTAAATACTCACTTTCGAGATCCCTGGAGGGAGGGATGCATCTTGTGTGTGTAATGGTTCGTGCACATTGTGCAAATTATGCATGACTAATTCTGCACAAACCCGTAACGTCTTCACGTGAGTGTCAGGTGCTATTAACATAAACTCTTCACTAACCCTTTCTCCGTATATTCCATTGACCTGAATCTTCTTCAAAGATGACGGCACAAACTGCTCCCGTGTCAGTTTATGTCTCTGTAAATACAAACATAAACAGCAAGCACACATTACAAAATTGTACACTGTACAGTGTACAAAAATGTACACTGTACACTGTACAGAACTACCATATTCAAATTTGTCTAATCGTTTAGCAGCATATCTTATTTGCTTCTTTGTGTTAGCAGTGTCAGCATCACCTACGAGTTCCTATATTTCTTCTTATGTTAGGAGAACAAATGGAGATTCACACGTATCATCCGCCAGTTTGCCATTTTGTGAATCAGTCCGCCAATTTGCCATTTTGTGAATCAGTCCGCCAATTTGCCATTTTGTGAATCAGTCCGCCAATTTGCCATTTTGTTAATCAGATTTGTGTTACAGCGCCACCACCAGCAGTTATGAAACCCTGCAATGGTTCTATTCACCATGGAATAGAAACTCTATTTTTGCAGTGTGGCCGCGCCGTGCGTTGGGATGAATAATTCAAAGTCATGGGATCAAAGATCCACCAATCAGATGACGGGATTTATTCAGGCGTTGTATAATATTTAGTTGGCCACTGTTTTCTTTTTCTGATTCAATCTGTATTTTATGAATTTTACATTTTTAAACTATACTAATTTATAAAATTGTCTTTAATTCAGAATGTGGACTGCAACATTTTTTTTTTTTTTTAAATCAGAACTAATAATAACAATGAAATTGTAAATATTTTCATTGCGAGACTGGACCAGGCTCCTCCTGTAAGATTTTGTACTCAAGCATGTCAAGAATATCTGTCCATATGCAGCACTACGTTTTCATTTGTCTTCATGAAGAAAAAAACCATTACTTACAACTGGTCGTTGTGAAAGTGCCGAGTCTTGGAAAAAGTGCTGGACCTGTATGCGTTCAGCAGCTGCAAAGAAAAGACCATTAAAAGATCATTTCTGATTTTTCACAAAACTGAGAAATTGTGTGATTCTCGTGGAACAAGCGGCATCTCGACACAAAAAAATCGCAACCATGCTCACGTCATGCACGACACGACGATGATTCCGCGGAATAGACACTATGTGACGTCTTCAAACTGGCGGTGCGCGTGTTGATAACAATCAAAAGATCTTCCACGGCCACATCTGTTCATTCAACCATTTTTGCTGCATGCTGATTGGCTACACAAAAAAAAATGATGAGCCATATGCGCTGTCGTAACTACACACAGGTCGACTGCGATTGATTCCCTCCTGTCGGGAACACGTTCTGCCGCGGCACAAATGTTGAAATTTTTTTACTCTTGCGACTTGATTTTTGTGAGCACCGACTGATGCAGATTGTCTTAATGTGTCGGAGTTACACTCAGGTCTCAAAAAATGGCGACTGATATGTTCCTGACAGTCGCAGCTCAGGCGCAGCTTGATCCTGAAACGTCAGACGCCGACTGATCAGTGTCGCCGCAAGGTCGACCCGAGGATGGCCTTGAAGATATTTTCAGTACTTGAGAATCTTCTGTCTTTACCTTCGCCCACTTTCTTCATTTGAATCCTACATTTCCATGTATCTCAAATGGTTTGCAGTCGTTTAACCCATTAGAACCTGTTCTACATTGTATTACATTGTGTTTATTTACTGAAGAATCAATGAAACCAGGGAGTGCTGGGGCGGTTCCAGGCGCTACAGTGAGTAATAGGCAGGGCACTACAGTGACTAAACAGTTAATGGGAAAATCCAATTGTAAAGACATTTTATTTGATGCATCTACCGAGCCAGAAAATTTTATCAAGTTATTTCTGCTTGGAAAATGAAGATTCCCGTGTAATTTTTAACAATCATACCAGTACTTAAAGGTATATACATGTACAACGTTTGCAAACATAAAAAAAACTAGGGTTTTAAAACTTTGAACAGGTTAGTGTAACAACGTTTTCTACTAACTCCCAAATCCATCCATTTCTGAAAATTGTAGCAAAGGCAAATGTTGTACAATGTATATTACCATTAAAGCTTAATCCTACAAAAAAAAACAGAGACAAAAATAACAGCGTTGCTGTTGAAACCCCTCAGCCAGAGTCAAGTTATCATCCGGAAACCATTAACCGTTAACTCAACGTGGTGACCTTGACCTTTGGCCTTTGACCCCAGAACCAGTCCCAACATGCCTGTACCAATGGGAAACCCCCTACCGAAGTTAGACACCAACATTTCATTTCTAACTCAAGTTATCATTCGGAACCATTTACATTGAACTCACCACGGTGACCTTGACCTTTGACCTTTTGACCCCAAAACCAATCCCAACTTGCCTGTACCCAAGGGCAAACCCCTACCTCAGTCAGACACCAAAATCTCATTTCTAACTCAAGTTATCATCCGGAAACCATTTACCTTTAACTCACCATGCTGACCTTGACCTTTGACCTTTTGACCCCAAAACCAATCCCAACTTGCCTTCTCCCAAGGGGAACCCTCTTCCAAAGTTAGACACCAAAATCGCATTTCTAACTCAAGTTATCATCCGGAAACCATTTACCTTTAACTCACAATGGTGACCTTGAACTTTGACCTTTTGACCCCAAAACCAATCCCAACTTGCCTACTCCCAAGGGCAACCCTCTACCAAAGTTAGACACCAAAATCTCATTTCTAACTCAAGTTATCATCCGGAACCATTTACATTTAACTCACCACGGTGACCTTGACCTTTGACCTTTTGACCCCAAAACCAATCCCAACTTGCCTGTACCCAAGGGCAAACCCCTATCAAAGTTAGACACCAAAATCTCATTTCTAACTCAAGTTATCATCCGGAAACCATTTACCTTTATCTCACCATGCTGACCTTGACCTTTGACCTTTTGACCCCAAAACCAATCCCAACTTGCCTTCTCCCAAGGGCAACCCTCTTCCAAAGTTAGACACCAAAATCTCATTTCTAACTCAAGTTATCATCCGGAAACCATTTACATTTAACTCACCACGGTGACCTTGACCTTTGACCTTTTGACCTCAAAACCAATCCCAACTTGCCTACTCCCAAGGGCAACCCCCTACCGAAGTTACAACCCCAAACAACATTTCTAACTCAAGTTATCATCCGGAAACTAAGCTGCCCGGACGGACGGACGGACGGACAGACACACACACATCCGGACGGACGGACGCCCTAGGCGATGACAATACCCCTCGAGCCTCTCGGCTGAGGGGTAAAAAAAGGAAAAAAAGTGTGCTTACATGTAACGATTCGGCCATCTAATGTCCAGACATTAGGCAAGCTGTCAATCACATGGATACGATCTGCAACACAAAGGGAGAAACAAAACAGCTTTTTTTAAACTTAAAGCCAAGAAAATAAATACCTGTGTTTCCGGTTACCCTACCCAACCTAGAAAATAATGCAGAACTGATGTATGTTGTAACTCTTTTTATTGAAACCACCAGCACCACCCACGCTTTTGCAGCAGAGTCTTTGTGAGGACTTTGTGAGGGCTGAGATGGATTTGACTGCAACACTGTAACTTATTGCCCCCCCCCCCCCCCTGAAGGTACATGTAGGATTATTTGCATTTATCCGACAAGTATTACCTAAAATTATTATTTGGATTAAAGATCGTACTGGTACTAAACACCACATGATATTATTCCGTCTGGCTTGCCGTCATTTAGAAGAAATCAAGCAATGTAGGTGATTTCCAATGATCAGGCAATTGACTGATCGTTGGAAATAAAGTTTTATTGACAAAATTATTTTTCGTGAAAAAAAAGGTTGTGCATGTTTTTTTTTACTATTTTCTCGAAAAGTGTAATATCCAATGAACTGAAACTTCAACAGGTTAGCTTTTGAACATTCGTCTTTGTATTTTGAGAGTTGTTGTTATTGGAAACGAACAAAATACATGACAAGCAAATGATTCTATATACCCTAAAAAGTGTCAATTTATCTTAGGCAACTTTTTTAAAAATCTGGGTAATAAGTTAATGTTTGAAGGACTCACAGTATTTATCCCTCTCCAATGTTTCGTTGCCATGGAGACTCATGTCCAAGACATGCATGTGGCGTATCTTCATGAGTTCGCTCCAGGCCAGGTCATTGTTGGCAAGATTGAGGCAGCCCAGGGCAATGAATTTTGACAGCCCATCCAGATTGCTTATCTATAAACAGAAGAAGAAAAAAGAAATGAACGATATGTGATATGTGTTAATGTTGTGCATTTGGTTGGTTTGACCAGGCCAAACCGACCCGAAACATTATAGATACAATGTATACACCAAATCCGAACCGAAACCAATCTGAACTCCCCAACTCCCCAGAAATTCAAGGAAAACCGACCCGAACCAACCCAAAACACCCTGAATACCAGTATATCTGGCTTGGGCAAATGGGTCCGATTTTTGTGCCTGAACTTACCTACTTACATGTACCTGCAAAAGTATCCAAAATCACCTTGAGAGGCGAGATTATGGTTTGAATGTATTAGGATCACAAATTGAAACTCAAAAACAAAAGTGCTAAACTATCAAAAATCAAAAATATAATCTGAATATTTTTAAAATTGTAGTAAGGACAATTTTTTTTACAGTAGCCCAACCAGTGGATTTTTTTGCAGCCAAATTAAAAATCAAGTTTTTTATAGCCACATTTGGCAAATAGGCCCCTAAAGTTTTCGCTACTTAAGTATTCACTTTCTTAGAGTTTAGGCACTCTCCTGAAGACGGTCAGAGCATACTGACCGGAACGTCGAGTTTATACCTCTGGTTCTTTTCAGAACCATTCTCTTAGTTGAGAAATTATTCGCACATGGTGTTTCCGCAAACCTTTCATTATTTAGTATCTTCACCATGCAAAGCCTCAAATCTTACCCTAAAGTTTACTCGAAAATAAAAAACCCTGTACATGTAGATGTGAGTGTCTTGTCATAATGGTTAATTAAACAATAAAAAAGGTTAATTTTACAGAATGCAGTTTAAGGTACATACACCCCAAAAGTAAACAAATGAAGCATAAACAACAGAGGGGAAACATTAAAAAAAAATTGCAACATGAAATTATTGTGCTACATTTTTCTGGATAAATTTTAGTGTGTTACAGCAAACACATAATTTGTGGTTTGTTTTTTTCCGGCCTTATATACCTCGTGTTGTGAAGTGACAATATAATCAGTGATATTTTCCAACTTTCACTCGGGAGGATTACACACTGAGTATAACAGTGTTTAAAAATGTCGGTGAAGGGCAAAGCCGAATTTGATTTATATCACCCCGACGCAAAATTCCATATTATAATAATAATTAATCTTCTTTCAATTATGTCAATGTGATGGCAACATTCTAATTTACCATCTTGGTCTCAGTGTGTTGCCTTAATTAAGAATTAAGCATTCCACATAACTGTCTTCACTGACAAGCTTTATTAATGAGTTTCACAATAGTACTCCAACAGGATCCAATTTCTGTATTAATTAACACTGGCATTTACATTTAATTACTATAACACACACACATACATGTACAGATCTTAAACAGAATTGCATGTACCAGTAGGCTGGATAGGAAATTAACGCCAATCTGTGATGCGAATCCTGACTTTCGTTTTATTGACAGAAACTGCTGTTTGAATATTGACATTCCCGGACCATTGTGTGTACGGAGGGGGTACTGTTGAATATAAACTTTAACAGTGTCAAATAACTAGGTAGGCATCCTCCATTGAATGGAGAAAGTAAATATTTAGCAACTACGGCAGGAATAGAGAGGTACAGTTGAATAGAAACTGAGTAAATAAACGGGTTAGTTGAAATGAAACTGGATTGATTGATTGATTAAGATTCAAATGTGGTTGAAGCAAAATTAGGGTTAAATTTATCAAAGGGTTTATAAATTGGATGTCTATCCCCAATGGCTTAATGGACCTTATACACGAGGTGGCCATTTTTGTCGTGTTCCCTGAATGTATTTTATAAATTGTTAACTGTTGAATGGGATGGCGCCAGACTATTTATGCAGCCTTATTTTACTTTCATTTTTTTCTTATCTGGCTTAAAACATTAGGGAATGTTTAATTACAAATTTTAAACCATTCATTTAAGCAGACTTGAATTAATTAGTAATTTACTTGCTTTCATTTCTCTTCGCAAGTTCCAAAAATGAAGAGTTTACCTCACTTTCAATTCAACATGGCCGACTCGTGAATAAGGCCCATTGACACAGAAAGATCAAATGACAGTTCAAAGATATATGGGTCATTCTATAAATTTGGGGTCCACTTTATTTTCCTGTCCCTATTACATCTGACATCTATGAAGGCAGTTGTCCTCCACGAGTTATTATAAATGGCAAACTACCCAATCAACAAATAAAAATCATTTGAAGTTATTCTTCGTGATACTTGAATGGCAACTTACAAAGTACAAAGATAACAAGGACCGGGATAATGTCAATGTTTGGCGACTAAACTCATAGAATGACCCATGGCCTAGTAATATACATTTCCGCGTTTCGAAGTACAGTAAAGCGGAAAATAATTGCCTTAGGAATTCGAGCAACGCATTACTGGTGAAAAGATTACGTAATAAGGGCGTCAGAAGGTTTAAATACAGAAGAGGAGAGTATTTCGATCAGTTCTAGCAAGCACTGCACACGAGAAGCACAGATTTAATTTTTAGTGAAAATTAATTTTTAATGTTTTGAAAAATCTGGGTACTTGTATAATGTGATAAAGGGTAAAGTCAAGCACCCTCAACGAGGAAAATTCTGAATGTTTTGGGGCACAGGTTTTTCAGAGGATTTTAAAATTTTAAAAAATTTTGCTTGGACGTTGACTTCTCTGATGAAGCGTTTAAGTACGACAGTTAAAATATTTACAACAATGGCACACATGATTATTCAGTGAGAGGTCTTGTAGTTATACATGTAGTAAGATTCTACAGTGCATCAGATGTTTTGTATAGAGTCATTGGTAGGCACAGGTTCAAGTCCCACAGTAAAATTTGAAAAAATTTGGTGGTCAAGTTGTACGGACTGCTGTTTCATAATGTGGAGGTTGCAGATGCAATTCGCACAGTGGGGATTTAAATTATGTAAACTTTACAAAGTGTAAAACTTGCAAGTCCCCAAGTCAGTCAATAAATGGTGACCTCATGTCTCCTGTGCTTTGCTATCGCCAAATCAAAAGTAGGGTTTTGCTGTGTGTTTTGTTTAAGTGAAAGTAAAGATAAGATGTAAAGTAAAGTCTGTCACGAGCCGATGTGGCCCATCGGGCCGGCGTATATCTCCAGTTTCAGTAGCATGAAATATTTCTACTCCCCCTGGATGGGATGCTAGTCCATCACTAATGCTGGTATACCCATTTATACTCCTGGGTGGAGAGAGGCAAGTAAGGGTGAAGTGGCGTGCCCAAGGACACAACATATGATCAGCAGCTGGATTCGAACCTCTGACCCTCTGATCATGAGTCACGAACCGTAGCCACTAGGCCGCACTCCCCAGTACAGCAAAAAGTCATAAGCAGTAAAAACATTTTGATCTTGCATTCATGGATGCACTTGTGAATAAGGCGGCCCCCCCAAAAAGGTTTAACACCGAAGCCGTAAGAGACAACTTTTTCAAGGCTTTTTTAAAAACGTATCACCCATCGCCAAAAGGCATTTTAGCACAATAACAAAACATTCACGTAAGGTCAGTTGAAAATAACTGCTGGGAAAACAGTAATTGACCTATCGCTGTAGAATCACGTTAGAATCTCGTCAACGCAGCTTGTGAAATATTGTCCAATTACATGATACACGAATGGACGCGGAATGCGCAAAATCTGAGACAAACAAAACTTAAAAGACAAAAACGGCATGTAGGGTTGTCTAATGGGTGTGGCTAACTCGCAAACGACAATAGGTCAATTGTGACAGTCCAGTTATATCTTTACTACACAAACTATATACATAAAACCACCAAATAGAAAAAACTACCCAAAAGATTAGAATGAATTAATTGAATTCAATGAATTTTTACCTTGCAATTGGATAGGTCTAGTCTCCAGAGACTGTAGCATGATTCTATGTTCTGCACAATGCCAATGTTGTTGCCTTGCAGTAACAGGACCTGCAACCGACTACACTCCTTCAACCCATCAATGGTAACTGTAAGCAGAGAAATGTAAGTACTAAAGGCCGAGGAGAACAAACTAGTTTCTCATCCAGGCTCTTTGAAAAAATGGAGAAGCAGGCCCTTTTTTCCCAAGCAGGCGGGAAAAAAGAAGCAAGCAGGATATGAAAACAATTAAAAGATTGCAAAACTATTATTATAATGAAAGTGCAATGGTAAGAATAATTTCATGAGGTGACAGATGAAATGTTCCATTCTACGAGGCGAAGCCAAGTGGAATGGAATATTTTATCTGTCACCTCATGAAATTATTCTTTCCATTGCACGAACGTGAAACGTTCATTATTTGTTTTATATAACACCTGAATAAATCCTTGTCATCTGATTGGTTGACTTTTAATAGCCAATTTATTCAGGTTAAAAACTGTTTAAAAGTTTGACAAGTTCATCATTATTACATTAATGCAAACTGTTCAACAGGTTGAGAACCATCATATTCAATTTATCTCGATTTAAAACAGCGCCGCCACCAGCAGCAGTGACACCGTTCAATGGAAGTTCTATTGACCGTGCAATAGAACTTCCATTGCACTGTGCGCTGCACGCCACGCGCGCGCCGTGTGTTGGTACAAATAATTCAATGACATGTGATCAACAATCCACTAATCAGATGACTGGGATTTACTCAGGTGTTGTATAAAGAGCAATATTACATTACAGCCCTGCTGAGATTTGTTTTAAAAAGTCTGAGCAATATGCTCCAGAGATAGCCGTGGAAAATTGGGACTTCAGATTTTTTTTTTTTTTAAATCAAAGTGTCATCTTAATGGTCTTTAACTTTTACATGGGATATAATGAATATTTTCAATACAATTCTGATAAACAGTGCTTAGGTACGTAAAAATTAAAATTGCTCTCCCCGCCCGTGCTATTTTCTTGTTTCACCCAGAAAAATAGATTTCGTTTTAAATCGCTATTTTTCTAGCAATACAAAAGTTATTAGGCCTAACTTTTGAATGAGATTTGAGACATCGAACCAAAAAATAGTCCACCCACTTGTTTTGGAATATTATTTCAAGTTATGTGCAGCCAAAAGACGCTCAGAATTTCCCGGGTGAAGTGCCAAAGTTCCTGAGACTTGACGCCCCCTAGGCCACCTGTATTGCTAGAGAACACTATCGAAATCCAGTCTTGGATCGACCACAGCTTATGATGTCAATGACAGGAATATGTCGCACAACTCAATGGTTTGCCAACACAACTCGGGAAAACTCGACCGTTGAGACAACTCCACCAGTGGGACTACTTGACCATTAACCAAGTTGAGACAATTCGAATTTGACATGGAGACAACTCCACTGTGGGAGCTGAAACGTTGCATGTACATGTGCATGTAGCTAGCGGAGGTTAATAATTGCCCGTCGATGTTTGGGCATTTGCGTTTGTGTTGCGAGCAAGTCGCAGAATCTGTGGCATGACCCTGCGCCGGGACCTGGCAAGGACGGATCCAGAACACAATTTTTTGGGGGCCAAAAAAATTGTGGTCCCCAAACAAGTGGGTCCAAAAAATTACGGCGTGGGGTTTGGGCCCATTGAAGGACCCCGAAAAAAATTTGGATTAATTTCTAGATGCTCTGTGGTGCGATCTGAGGCAATTTCTGACCACTTTAACCAATCTTTTGGGAGGAAAAGATGCCTTTATTGCAATGTCACTTAAAAAAAAAAAAAATTGGGTTAACTTTTTTTTTGGGGGGGGGGGGAGTTGGAGAGGGTGGGGTGGGGGGGGGGGGGCATGGCCACTGTTGGGCCCCCCTGGATCTGCCCTTGGGACCCAGTCAGGTGTACAGTGGCCCGGTCAGGTGTACAGTGGCACGGCCCGGTGCCGCACGGAGGATGCAGCGTGGTGCACAGCCGCGACGGCGATGCGGCGCACCATGCCATGCACGGTGGTGTGCCCCTGCATGATGATGCCTCTCCAACAATTGTGAGTCGACTTGTCTCAACGGACGACTTGCTTCAACGGATGACTTGTCTTTCCATTTGAAGTACAGACAGTCGAGTTGTCCCACCGGTCGAGTTGTCTCAACGGTCGAGTTGTCTGGAGTTGAGTTGGCAAATTGTCGAGTTGTCCGATCTTAAACTAAACCAAATAACTCACCGATTCCAAGACAAGAAAGATCGAGATATTCCACGGAATAAAGTGGGCCGCGTGATCTGGAACGCACCAACTATAGAACAAAACAAAGAAGTTTGTATGAAATCAAGGGAACGAATGTAGTATCCAGACGTCACTTCAGCGGTTGTGTACAAAGTCTATGGATAGGCCTAGTCAAGAACATTTTCTAAGTTTTTTGTAACAAAATTGGAAATGTTTCTCATCAGTCGTCCCACTTTCAACATCTTTGGGAAAAAAAATGATTGCAACCTGACGCCACTTTTTTTTCATATATCATCTCAATTACAGTTAGTCATGGCAAAAATGCGGAAAATACATGAATCTGTGACTGAGAAACATTTCTAATTTTGTTAGGAAATACTAGAAAATTGTCTTTGTTGTGCCCATTCTTGAAAATCACGCAATCTTAAGAATGCGCACGCATTCTTAAGAATGAGCGCGCATTCTTAAGAATGAGCACGCGTTCTTAAGAATGAGCGCTTATTCTTAAGATTGCATGGGAATATCACGTGCACAATTTATGAATTTTGCGCAATCTTAACAAACATTGCACGACATAATTAAGTTAAATGAAATGTATAGCGGTTAAAAGGGAAACAATTCATATAAAGAGGAAAGAAAATGTTCTATGCTTCTGTACTCGTGTAATAACGGAGGACTGGGAACTAGTCTGGGAAGTGCTTTGTTTAGGCAAGACAAGTTACAAGTCCCAGTATGTATCATATGCATGCCACGAAAAAAAAAATGATGTCCAGAAGCTGCCAAAATTGCTCTTTTGACTAGATAGAATCCAGCTCTGCGGCGTAATGGTGGGGGTGTGAACAATAAATTGGTGGCAATTTAAATGGGAAATAGCATTAGCACTATATGGGATGTCACAGTATTCATTCTCATTCTTCACATTCTTCATTCTTACGTCCGCCCCCAGCTTTTATTATCCCAAAAATCAGAATTCTTTCCAATACACTATTAGTATTAGGCCAAAAAAAAAAATATTTGGTCTCTGGTCAGACCAAAGTTCCGGAATTGACGTCGCCACGCGGCTTTTTTTTTTTTTGGTTTTTTTTTTTTTTTTCTTCAAGCTTGGATTTTACAGACAAGGTGGGGTACTATTTTGCTTTTTTTGGTGTCCTCATGTACATTGGTGTCCTCCATAATTTGCTTTGGTGCTTTCGATCATTTGCCTTGGTGCAATTTCCCATTCCTTGGTGCTCTTTGGTAAAAAAAATTGAGGTGCGGAAATAGAGGGCGCTGTTGGAGCTACCGCGGAACATTTTGGAAAAAAAAAGATCGACGCGCATGATTAAAATCGACGCACGCGCTGACCAGAGACCGACTTATTTTTTTTTTTGGCCTTATGTCTCTAAAAGTCTTATTTTTTTCCCGGTCCCCCCCCCCCGGCCCCCCCAATACGCCTATACTTTTCATATCCACTCTACTTTTCAGCGCCTTGCGTTGCAACAGTATAATTATTAAGCATCAGTGAACGAGGATGCAGCTAGACTTGCCAAGCGCAGCAGGTGCTCGGTATCGACAAGACCGTTATCTTGTCGCGCATTCTTAAGAATGTGCGCTCAATCTGGAAGAGTTATTTTTTGCGAAGATTGCGCAAGGATCCAGTTGCACAATCATAAGAATGTGCATGCGCATTCTTAAGAATGCGTGATTTTCAAGAAAGCGCACAACATCTTGACTCTCCAGACGCGACCATAGACTTTGTACCGGTACACAACTGCCACTGCCAGTCACCAGTGTCAGTGACACACAGTGGCGTCAGGATGCAACATTATTTCTTTCCCATTTCTGCAATGACTGACCTTTATGATATATGAAAAAAAGTAGTGTCAGGTTGCAACATTCTTTCTAAATCAAGTCTAGGTTAAATATTACATTAATTTCCCCCAAAAACAAAAACTTGTAACCAACCTTCGATGTCAGTCGCATCGTAACTTCATCTTTCGCGTTCTTGGTTGCACGGTGACAGAATAGTGTGGTTCCAGGGTATTATACGTTCACTTGCTGTACAGACAAGTCAGGGATTCAGACAATCTCTTGCCCCGAGGAAATTTCGCCCCCATTTGTCACCTCGCCCCATATTAGTCGGTGCATTGTGGAAAAAGCCAAACCCCGCCCCTACCCCCCCCCCAAAAAAAAAGCAAAAAAGAAACAATCTGTACTCAGACAGTAGAAGTATATACACAAGAGAATGAAATATGTGATTTAAAACTGATTTATTTGGAACATTAAAATTATACCAAACTCAAGTCTGTTTGTCTAACAAGTTACACAAGTAAATTATCCAGGCATGATGGATAATGGGTATGTTAATAAATTCTTAAGTACATAAACGCGTATGACACCATGATTTGGAAATTTCTGTTTACTTTTAATTGCACATACATAGTCCATTTTTTTATCCACTTCACCAGAATTGTTTAAGGTATGGCAATAATTTTGAAAAAAAAGTGTTCAATTAAGGTATCGCGTGCACCTGTGAATATTTCTTACAGCAAATCATGCTGTATCCAGATCACATGGAGTGAAGTTGGTGAATATGTTGACGTAATTACCAAAAAACTTCAGGATTGCCAAATTTGTTTCTCAACAGTGAAAAGAACAACACCCACATAGAAAAAAGCATGCAACTCCTTCATTTAATCAACAATTTCAATTTTACCCCACGGTTTTTCATACACTTCAAGTTCAGATTTTGATCAACAAGAAGCCTAATCTTGTAAGAAAGAAGTAAAGATAACACTACATCACATCCTTTCGAAAGAAAAATGAAGAAACTACTCATTTTTAAGGATTTGTTTAATCTTAGCCATCTATGAAACTACTACAAATCTTCCTGAGAATCAAGGAATACGGTCAATAGAAGATATTAATATATAAGGGTATGCGGGGTTAAAAACAAAATTACTGAAAACGAAAGTTTACACCCAACAATGGAATGACTCAATGACAAACAAATTGAATCTAAAGGCAATTTTTTTAATGAAAGCAAACATATTCTGTTCCTTTTTTTCAGGACTTTGCCAAATTTTATCACCTTGGCATGGTGGGTTTAAAGGTAATATACAACATTTGCAAACATCAATTAAACAAAACTACCAAAATTATTGTGAAATTCCTTACTTGACTGTAAGTGAATAATAGTCTCATGCATCCTGCGAAATCATGGCACCTGGTGTGCTGCCATTTACAAGAACAGTGGAATTTTTGTATCAATTTCCAACGATTGCCAGCCGACCATTGTTGGAAAAAAACTGACTTTCTTCACATACTGGCCTCAATTTAAATATAGTGAGACCACATTTTGCTTGCAATTGGTTACACATCCGCAAGCTAGTTAGTCTGGTTCCCTGACCTGACAACTCCCGACAACCACAATTTGCACCTTTCCTTGTCAAGTAGGGTCACAGAACCAGACTATAAGAACGGCATTTTGTTTTTTTGGTTTTTCCAGCATCTATGAACACCAAACTTTAAACAGGTCAGTGTATTAAACAATATCTGCTATAAAATATTGACCCCCAAAGCCATCCATTTCGGAAAACTACAGCAAAAGCAAATGTTGTATATTTACCCTTAAGATGTTGCAAGACGTAAATCAAAAACTTGCAATCCTATATTAAACTAGAATTTTCAAGTCTGGGGTGCTGTCATTTTCAAGAAAAGTTGAATTTTTATTTGTGGTCATCCATCACTGGAGAAAAAATAACTTTTTTCAAATACTGCAGTTAGTAAGTCCACATTTTGTTTGTACATGTATGTAATTGGTTACACATTCGTGAAGCCAGCTAGTCTGGTTCCCTGACCTGACAGTTCCCCAACGTGTATAACTTTTTGTCTGAAGTAGGGTCAGGCGACCAGACTGCAAAACAGTATTTTTTTCTATGAACACAAAACTTTAAACAGGTCAATGTAACAATATTTTCTGTAAAATACTAACCCCCAAATTCATCCATTTCTGAAAATTACAGCAAAAGCAAATATTACCTTTAAAAGCAATCTTTGGGAAAATGATATGCTTATTTTCTTTCAAACATGAAATAAAAAGTAAAATGATTTCATTTTATAGCTTAATAATGACATATGGAGCTTTTAAAGCTAAATGGATCTTGGAATACACATTTCCAATGATAAAACATTTGCCGATCTTAATCAATCAGCTTTGCAAACATTACAGCATACTTTTTAAAGTTCATTTATGTTATACTACTATTTGTTTTTATCAAAACATAATAAAGACATCTGATAAATTGGCTCAACACCCCCACAATCTGGCTTGCCTTTTGTATTAACCAACTTTCCCTTTGAGATAAGAAGTTTACAATCAGTTTATGTTTTCTAGCTACGAGTTCCAAACCCTAGACACTTAAAAACACTACTTCTAGACTCATATAAAATCTGCTAATATCAACTGTTGGGTTTATATTTCAGATGTTCTGATAAATCTTTCAATATCTTACGCCCAACTTGACCCTAAGCTCCCAACTTAAGTAACTGTTCCATCTCGAGCACTTAAGTTGGGAAAACGAATGTCACTTGAGTTGAAATGCATTACAAAGTGGCATTATCATGATAATGATTACATGAAAACTTGCTGCCTGTAACACTTTGCATTTGAAATTGCCTTCGAGTCATTTACATGTACATTGATTATATTACATTATATTTCAATCAACAAAATTATCATGTTAAGATTGTAAAAAAACTTATCCATGATACTAAATTCACCAAAGATCATTATGCACATCAAGATCAGTGTGAATAAGCATATACTACATGTACTTTTGTTGAAAATGCCACAAATGTGACTCCCTTTTCTGTGTTAGGCCAAGCCAAAAAAATATACAAGTTTCTCATCCATGGCTTTTTCCTTTTTCACGTCAGCCTCCTCCTTTTTTTTTCTTTTCTTTTTTAATTCATATGTAATGCGATCAAGCTAAATGAGTCGTTTGTCAGGAATTTTTATTTGGAAATACAGGCCAAAATAGGGCCACTTCATCACATCACTTCATCACATTTCTTGGTGTTCCGACTTCCATAAGTTTTTAACTAACGCTGGTATCAGCATGCGGTTTTTACATCAGTAATGCTGAGATTGTGCTCTTTTCAAATCTGTAATAAATTTGTGTTGACCAGTGGGGTTGACAAACGACTCATTTACAAAATGTAGCTTGATTGCATCACATATGTTTGCAATTTATTTGCAAATGGTGTCAATATGTTGTCTTTTTATTTGTTTCCAACACAATTGTATCTATTTGGAAACCACTTTGTATCAGCAAAAGAGTCAAGGAAATGGAAGAATCCATCTGACATCTTGGGAAAGAAAGGGGGCCGCCTCATTTTTTTTTAAAAGCCCCGACGAGAAACTCTTTTTTTTTTACTCGGCCTTAAGTACATATGCTGAAAACCTTTTTTGGGGGGCCTCTATTTCTAATTCATAAAGCTTTTTTTTAAACACTTACATGTAGCCTTAAGAGTGTGACGGCGAATTGACAGCAGTTTACCGTGTTTACTACACAACCGTCTCTACGCAGTGAATCAACATAAAAACAACAGAAAGGATATCATTATCAACACAATATAAAGCAGCACTCTGCTTTGCCAGGGTTAAAACCAAATAAAAATCAGCAATCAATCGGTTTTCTTGGAGGACCGACCTCGAGCGCGAGCGATGTTGGCCTCCCGCTTCGCTTTCCTCTTCTTCTCTTTCTCTTTCTTGTCAATGTCCTTCATCAGGATGTAGGACAAGATGGCGCTGATGATGAACAGTGGTGTCAGGAAGAGAAACACCGTGTACAGGAAGCCGTAGGGGTCCTTGGCCACCCACAGGATGATGTTCTTCTCAAACCAGTATCTCCACGTGCCGTCATCTTCGCCGGGGAAGTCGTCGAGGTTTTTCGGCTCGGTTGGATCGTCAGCACCGTCTGCCATGATTGCTGCCTGCTCCCTGGGTTAACATGGTAAGTAACAGGGGAAGCAAAAGATTAAAATTGATTTGCTTCCCATATCTCAAGGAGTCACTAACCCTAACCATCCCAAATCCTCCAAAATCCTTTTGCAAATAGGAGGAATTTGCAGGATTGAGGTTACATGGTGAAAGTGTGTTGCTGATTTCGGAGGACGCACTGTGTCAAGGTCTTTGGCCGGACCATGTGTTGTTTATGCTCAGCCTAGCATAAATTGAATCCTTGATTATACTTGAAATCCTCCACACTGCTCCAGGATGTCACTGCCTCTGCCTCAACCTATTGACAGTCATAGCCGGAGGATTTTGCAGGATTCAGGCAGTGGTCACCTCTCCACGGACCATATTCAAGAAATAATGGAGAAATTTGCAGGGTTGAGGGGCAAAAAGGCCTACATGTAGGGAGTTAGGGCTAAAGAAATTAGAAAGCACTCAGAGAGCATAATCTCCGCCAAGGCTACACAAATCCCCGCCATATTGTCCATGTTGTCAGTACACCCAATAGAAATACTCGCATTTCCACTGGACTTCCACATTTAATTGCACGTTCCCCACTCCCCCATAGCATCAATTGGTCGAGTCCATTGACCTGTTGGTTTCAATGGTGTGTGCGCTATGCGCTCATAGACTGCATGCTGGGCAATTCCACGGTTACTCACGTTACATTTTTGTTTTCCTTGGGCTGCAATTACCTTACTGAAAAGGTTTAATAACTGTTATCCCCATGGTAGATAGAGTAGACCTAGACCTACCTAAGCACCAAAGATGACATCCAGAAAAATGTTACTCACGTTACGAAAATGTATTGTGAGTAACCGATTTTGTGCGTCTTGTTTATCATACATAACACATTTTTCTGGATGACATCTTTGGTGCTTAGGTAGGTCTACATGTAGGTCTACTCTATCTACCATGGGGATAACAGTTATTAAACCTTTTCAGTAAGGTAATTACAGCCCAAGGAAACTCAAAAGTACATCAAATATGTAACGTGAGTAACCATGGAATTGCCCTGCTGCATTACCCACACGTCTCTACACATATGTAGCATATTGGCACATACAACATGGTGAAGAATCCTTTAAAAAAATTCCCGCATCCTGACCCAGACCAAGTTCACTTCCAACATCTAATCGATTTGTTACATGAACCGAGCACCACCCCTTACAAAAATGTAATGAAAATCCGTCCGTAACTTTTTGAGTTATCCTGTTATAACAGACAAACAAACCAACCAACCAACCAATGCCGATGAAACATTAAAGGGGCACTACATGTAGGTCCTGAAATCCCCGAAAATGTTATGTTTTGGATTGTTTACTTAGCCTATTTCAAACATCTGGTTGAAAGGAAACCAACCTAATGTCTTACCGTTCCCGAGAAAAGACGAAAAAAACCCGCTTGTTTACATCGGATATGACGGAGTACGAATACGTTTTTCGTGTCGTTCTCATGTACGCTATACACGTTGTGTGTCTCGGGAACAGCGCGCGGTGACCAATCACCAATGCAAAAAATTGTGGTTTCTTCAACGTCCGCAAAAGGCGAACACTTTACGCGTACGAATGAAATCACAACTAGCATCCAAACAGCTTGAATTTATGGGGTCGCAAAAGTGGACCCCGAAATTCGTTCTCGCACGCATACATGTAATACAGGAATAAAACAAAAACGCCCAGTTTTGAAAGGATAGTTGTGTGGATGTTTATATCCTACTTTTAAAAGTTATTTCCGATTATCATCATCTCGTTCAAAGCGCGGTTTGTAGCCCAATTGGGCTGCTCCAGGACCTAGTGTCCCTTTAAACCTCTTTGGCGGAGGTAATAACAAATTCAAGTCCAATACAAACTAGGATACTTTGTGTACAAGTGCATTTGAGAATTACTTTGTGTACAAGTGCATTTAAGAATTACTTTGGATAAGCTGTATTCCTTAATATCTAGTATCCCGATAATTTCAAAAGAAATTTTCAAAAAAAAATTATTGTCCCAAACTTTCCTCTGGATACAGATTGTTATGGCAAAAACCAAAAAATGTAATGAAACCAAAAATGTTATAGTGTAGAGGCAGTGTATATTTGACCATAAACCGGTCCCCGGTTGTTTTCGTTTTTGTACCAGCACTGCAATGAACATGCGCAATGGTAGACCTGTGAACGTGGCGTTGTAAACAACGCAACGTTCCGGTGTAATTTTGAAACATTCAATGAATTTTATATTTTGATCCGCGACGTTAACCATGTATAATTTTGCCCTATAGGTTAATCACTTACTTGTTAGGCTTTCTGTGAATTTACATGAGTGTTGGATCTGTCATTGCCAAGGAATTTGATGAAAAATACGGCACAACGAACGTATTCAAAATGATCAGAAAATAAAAGACACGCATGGTACTCTGGTACCCTGAGTTCTGCATGCGCAAAACGGTGGGAGTCCCACCAGTGGGTACCCGTCTTACGTGGCAGGGTGACCGTAATACCATGTTAAAATTCTGCTAAATCCACTTCAAAATCTGCCAAATCACCCAGCATTGCACAAATTCACAATGAACATTTAAAATCGCATGGATATCGTTAGAGCATTGCCTTGCTGTTCCATTGTTGTGCAAGGGTTTGTTTCAGGGTTCTTTAAAAAAAATAAGCTATTCCTAGCTTGAGTAACTCCAGCTCTAATGCCTATCGCATTAGAGCTTGATTGAGAAAAGGATTAGGATTGAGAAAAGTCTGTTTTTGATTGTAAAGGTGATTTATGAGCAATAAAAAAACATGTTTAACTCTAATCTGATCAAAACAAAACAGGGGTCCTGTTGTGCGCTTTCTTGTGATTTGCGCAATCATAAGAATGCGCATGCATATTCTTATGATTGCGCAACTGGATCCTTGCGCAATCTTCGCAAAAAAAAATCTTCCAGATTGAGCACACATTCTTAAGAATGCGCGACAAGATAACGGTCTTGTCGATGCCGAGCACCGGCTGCACTTGGCAAGTCTAGCTGCATCCTTGTTCACTGATTCTTAATAATACTGTTGCAACGCAAGGTCACCAACCTCGTCCCCAGGGACGGGTGTCGAGCAGTACGCGCCCACCACTACCTGCTCTCTCATCCTGGTATTGGATCATTTCCATGTGCAAGATTTTTGAACACATATGCAAATAAGGAATAGTCTGGTGCCTGCCTGTGCGTTACATTACCGTTTGTTTTTGTATGCGGTGTCTGGGGTAAAAACAGCATCAATTTGGGGCGCCGTGAGTTACGAAAAAATGTTTTTTTTTTCAACATGTTACAATCTGGCCCGCCAATATGCAGTATCACATTTCATATTAATATGAGCAAACTGGAAAAGAAAGGAGTATTTTTGAGACTTGGACGTTAAAATTACAATTAACGTGAAAACACGTACAGTGTACATGTGTAAATGCACGTTGGAAATAACAACACCAACTACACGATATAAATCCATTACCAGCAAAGTGCGGTATCGAATCAGGATACAGGAAGAAAGTTTCCTATCCAGGGCTTACTATTGGCAACGAGGTTGGAAATAAAGTAAGCACTGGGGACGAGGTTGCAAGGTACCTAGGAAAAGATTTAACGATGAAAAGTAGAGTGGATATGAAAGTATTTACACATATTCGGGGGACCGGGAAAAAATAAGAGACATAATATTATTAATATTATAATAGTGCAGTGGAAAGAATTCTGATTTTTGGGATAACAAAAGAGGGGGGAACATAAGAATGAAGAATGTGAAGAATGATGAGAATGAATACTGTGACGTCCCATTAGCGCTAATGCTATTTGCCACTTAAATTTACACCAATTAATTGTTCACACCCCCACCATTAAGCCGCAGAGCTGGATTCTATCTTGTCAAAAGAGCAATTTTGGCAGCTTCTGGACATCGTTTTGTTCGTGACATGCATTTCATAAATACAGCCTTAAGGGACTTGTAACTTGTCTAGCCTAAACAAAGCACTTCCCAGACTAGTTCCACGTCCTCCGTACAAAACTTCCCACAGTGGGCAGAAAAAAAAAAATTAATAACAGGTTAAATTTATTCAAATAATCGTAGTTATACGATTACGAGTACAGAAGCGTAGATCATTTTCTTTCCTCGTTATATGAATTATTTCCCCTTTATTAACTGCTATAGGCCTACATTTCATTTAACATATTTAATTATACTGTGTAATGTTCGTTAAGATTGCGCAAAAATTCATAAATTGCGCACGTGATATTCTCACGCAGTCTTAAGAATGAGAGCTCATTCTTCAGATTGCGTGCTCATTCTTAAGAATGCGCGCTCATTCTTGCACATCCTGATTGCACATTTGCAGTATTGGCTTTTGAAAATACTCGGAAAATGCTTGGCCCTAACAAATACTGACTTCATTTCTCATTCATGAAATGCAACAGGAAACACACTTTTACCTTACAGTAGATTGGCGTTTCTATCCGAATTCAATGCTCCGTTTTCTGCAAGACACTGTTTTTTTTCGGCACAAAGAAATTCAAGGTCGCAATTCCATGGGCGCTGCCATATTGTGAACGGATTCCTGGGTAATTTTAAAGCATGTATTTATAACTTCTTTATAAACCTTAAATATATCGTTTATATTTCTTTTTATTTAAATATTAAAAAAAAATTGTATCAACTTTTACTTCTTTGATTAGATTTAATTTAATTAAAATATTTTAATTGTAAAATAAATTTCTTTTTTGTTGACTGGGGTTCTATACTTTCATCAAATTAAAAAAAAATGATGTAGTAAGTTTTGCGTAATAAGGCAATGTAAGGAGGATCTCTCGCTCGGGGTCGCTCGTGTGCGTGTTCGATCGTCGATCGTACAGGGCCGAAGAACGGAACTTGTCTTAATAAAGTGAAAGTTGAAGTTTGATTAATCTTGAAGACTGGACCACTGGTAAGGGAAAAAAACCTTTCTTTCCTTTGTTAGCCGACAATACAGAGTCAGAGATGACGGCGCAATGTCCCTTGCATACGTGTGGTTGAATAATTAAAACTAGTTTTTATTTTAAGTTAAGTAACCACCTCCAATCCGTCGATGATGCATGATGTAACTTTCTCCACTTCATTTTCAGCTGTTCACTTCATCAATATAAATCATATAGAGCAAGGAACGGATAATTATGCACATTTCGTCAATTGTATTTCTAAGTCATGTAAATTACATCAGGCTGATTTAGTGTAACTGTCTTGGATTTTCCTCCATATGATTATGAATTTAATTTGTGCTGCTGTCAGGATTCAGTGAATACATGATAAACTATTCTATTAACTAAATAAAATGTCAAACATCATTTTACTAATAATACCAGCCTACTTTCTGTAGGAATATTTATTTCACTACATTTTAATTAACTAATGTTTTTACTTTAATTAACCAATGTTTTTACTTTAATTAACTAATGTTTTTACTTTAATTAACCAATGTTTATACTTTTACAAGTAGGGGTCCAAAACTAAGTAAAAAACATTAGTTAACTATTGTGTACTGTCACAATAAATGTTCTTGTTCTACAATGTAGTTGCATTAAACTCTCTATTATTTTTTCATCATTGCTTTTAAATCTTTTATAATTTACTTTTGTGTTTAAGTAATGTTTAAAATAAATTTTTAGATTTTTTGAAGGGTTACTCATTATTTCAATAATTTTTCAATTTCTGTCGACTCTTGCCTCCCCCCCCCCCCCTCACGTACCCTGATACTGCATGTTACGGATCACGTTTGCCATTTTTGCGTCATGAGTAACGTTGTGCATTTCTCCATTTTGATCAAGTATTGTCAGCTTAATATCCATAACATGGAGGAATAAAAACAAAATTGTATGTTTTATGTATTTTTGCCTTTTGAAGGGAGTGGGAAGATGTCTTGGTGCAAATGAAAGTAATCTGAAAATACCGATATGTGAATAAATACATGTAGGCAATCAGCACTAAATAAACAAATATGCAAATTAAAACAATTCCCAACCTACTTAACCTAGTTTTGAAATGGCATGTAAACGGAACCCAATTCTTTTCTTGGCGTGATTAACCCATCAAAACAGGTCTATTTAAGCCAATTGATCCAGTTGAGCTGTACCACTAAGAACTTGGAATAACTTGAGAAAATCAAGAGCTTTGTTGTGATCACATCTAATCTGTTGTTTATTGCATTGTAGAAATCAGTGACGTAACAAAATGGGCGGCGCTAGTTCCACAACAGTTCAGGCATCCACCACCCTTGCCACAACCATCATACCATCACCCACATCGACAGAAGATAACCCCGCAACTACCAGAGTAACCTCGAGTACATCGCCCCCGAAAGAATGCCCCATGCACTCTAGTCGAAAAGACGAGCAGTTAGACATTCGGAAAATGGCTAAGACTGGACAGATACCCAGCGGATGTCCAATGCACAAGAAGGAAGGGGCTGAAGTGATGACCACGGGGGCAGCGGTCAGCGAGTGTCCAATGACAGGCGCTTCATCCCCTGCACTGATGACCGACAGCAGAACTGATGACATCGACCCACTGAACATGGTGAGTGCACAGATACCCACCAGTGTAGACGGGAGGTATTGAATAGTCGTTAATTAACGTGGTGTTCATTGTACTTGATATTCCTATATTTTTGCATCAAAGGGTAGCCTCATAAATGTGGCTTAAATACTGGACTTCCTCCGTATATTCAGCCACACTCTCTATGTACATATACCCTGTGCATGGACACCCCCGTTGCTAAGGGAGCAGAAAATCAAATCAAGATCAAAATTATTTTATCACTTTAATTTTATCAAATTTTTGCAAAGTGCATCGGTATTCGGTACAGCTGTTGCCTGTCATTCAGTATTGGTCTGAAGTGGGCCCACATGCATGCACTTTTGACCAGAATTGAATGGCATTGGAAAAAAATGGGGGGGGGGGGGCAATTTTTTTCTGTGTACGATATGGAGGTGTCTGCATGTAGTCAAGGGTAAAAGGTAGTACACATGTAATTGATGGTTTTGGGGGTTTTCCTTATTTTTCCTAAAAGAAAATTAGGGTAGGGGCTGTCAAAATAGGGTAGGTAGGGTAACTGGAAGCAGAACAATTTTTTTGGGCCTTACCAATAGCTGGTTACTAATAGCCGCACACATCATAATGCACAGCAGGGAACCAGGACCAAGAAGTTTTGTGATGACATTTTGACCATCACTTGACTAGAGACATTTGCACATTTCTATAGTGCTTTGGTCTAAGTTACGTCACAAATCAACCACTCGTCGTCTAACGGTCCTCGCCCGAACTTGCTGAATGTATACAAACCTTTTCTTCTTAATACAGATGCCGCCCCCAAACCAAAGACCCGCCCCCGACCAGCCCTTCTCCCTCTCCACCGACCGACAAGTCTCCAACATCCCTAAGGGCAACAAGGACGGGGAGCACTGGGTCTACCCCTCGGAGCAGATGTTCTGGAACGCCATGCTGCGGAAAGGCTGGCGCTGGCAGCCGGACGACATTTCGCAGGGCGACATGCACAACATCATCAAGATCCACAACGCCAACAACGAGCAAGCCTGGCAGGAGGTGCTCAAGTGGGAAGCGCTGCACGCCAAGTGAGTGAGGGGTCTTTGGCCAGGCTGACAAGAATCATTTCCAAGCCAAGTTTAAAGGGATATAGGATCATTTGCATTTATCCCAGAAGTAACCCACTGTATTATTATCAAAAAAGCTTGGATTAGAGATCGTACTGGTTCTTAACACCCCATGAAATTTGTCTATCTGGCTTGCTGTCATTGAGAAGAAATCAAGAAATGTAGGTGATTTTCAGTGATCTGACTGATTTTTGGAAATAGTGCCGTTGACAAAATCGTCTTTTGTGATCAAGAGGCAGCTTTTTGTGACCCTCAAAGAATTTCTCTTCACACTAGCCATCTGTTCGAATGGTTAAGGTTAAATAGTTTTCTTTCAGAGAACACCATAATATGTACTTTTTTTAAACCTACAACATAACATTTATTTCTTGTTGATCTTCTTTTCTCTATTTTTGTAGGGAGTGCGGCGACCCCAAGTTACAAAGCTTTGGAGGAAAGTACACTGCCCTTTCACCAAGAGCCAAGTACAGAATGTGGCTCGGGTAAGTCAAACTGCAATTAACAAAAAAAGGAACTCTGCTCTCAAGTTTAGAGCTGTAAATAAAAATCAAACCTGTTTTCTCTTGATGTAGAGTGCAGTGGCCTCGAGCAGGAACTCAATATGTGTAGGCAATTCTGCTGGTTATAATTTCCAGTCTTAGGCCTGCTTGTGTTCTTGGGCAAGACACTTGTCGCCAATTGCTTCCTCAAACCCAAGAGTAGATGGGTACATGCGAGGACAGAGGACGATTGATGATTTTAGGTGCTCTGCAACAAAATGGCGGCATAGCAGTATACTTACCGGGGAGCTGAGATGGTCTTTGAATGGTTTTTGGTCCCAAAGATCAATCCTGGTGGATATGTGAACTTAATAAATTATACGCATTGGTACTATTTTAATTTTTTTTTCATTGATGTATAGTTACGAACGCCCATTTGACCGCCATGACTGGATCGTTGATCGGTGCGGCAAGAAGGTCCGCTACATCATTGACTACTACGACAGCGGCGTGGTGGACACAGACACCTACAAGTTTGCCCTGTTAGACGTGAGGCCGGCACTAGACTCGCCCGGTGCCGTTTGGGACCGCATGAAGGTGGCTTACTGGAGGTGGATGTACGATGCAAAAGATGATGGAGTTTAGTTAATACACTGCTGTCATTAAGTTTGGAATGATTTAAGTTATTTGCAAGTTTCGAATTGGGGATTTGAAATGGAGGTTGCTTGTCCAATCAGACTTTATAAGTATGTTCGGTTTCACATGTTTTTTATTTAATGTTAACAAGTTAATGCACCCCTCGCTCTATGTTTAAGAATGAGAATACATGTAGGACAAAGAAGTTTTATTGAGGCATTCGCAATTTCCCTTACAATATGAACCTGTTTTTTTTTAGCTGTCTCATATTTATTCGTTTTACAGGTTGATGATTTCCATGATTTTCATTTCCATGTTTATCAGAAAGTGTCTTTGTTATTATCATTAGAAATCTCCAATTATTATCTTTCATCAATGAGTGTAAATAGGAAATTCAATTTTCCATTTTTTGTTTTCAAATTGTTTGATTTTGGTTTTTTTAACACTAAAATATTACTTTTAGTTTATTATGCCATTTCCAGACTTTGTTTTAAATTGACAATATCATCCCTAGTTACTACCAGTATTACTGTATGTTTCACTTCCACTTACTATAAAAATGGTGTCTAATTAACCCTAACCACCCTGAATCCTTCAAAATCCTCTTTGCCAAAGTGGAGGAATTTGGAGGATTGAGGTTACATGTACATGGCAAAAGTGCGTAACTGATTTTGTAGGATGCAATTTGTCAAGGTCTTGGGCTGGACCTTGTGTTGTTTTTGCTCAAATATATGCATAAATACAGGCCTGGATTATGCTTGAAATCCTCCGCACTGCTCCAGGATGTCACTGGCCAAGCCTCAACATATGGACAGTCACTGCCGCAGGATTTTGCAGGATTCAGGCAGTGGTCAACCCTCCATGGAACTTATTCAAGAAATAATGGAGGAATTTGCAGGATTGAGGCAATATGCTATTTCTCTATGGGGCCAATTGGAGGATTTTGCAGGATTGAGGCTACATCCTAGCAAAAAGTGGCCTAGCTAGGGAGTTAGGGTTAAACAGGTTTGCATTACAATTTGTATGATGATTTCAATAAAAAGTTTCAGTATTTTAAAATAGAACTAACCATTTCCAGCTCATTTCATTTCTGTGTTAGTGTCGAAATTCTTTCTCCAATTTCACTCAATGCAAACGATTCATCACAAATGTGCACAGATAAAAAATTTAGTTGAAATATACTTCTCATATCTAACAGTTTGTAAACACTTTGTGCAACTAATTATTACTAGACTCTACAGTAAACATACAAAACAGGTTTTTTCCTCACTTTCCTCATATTGAATCTTAAAAAATATAGTTTTGGTTTTATACAAAAAGTAGCATAGCCTTTCCCCTTCCTTGGACAATTTGTTAGAAAATATCTTGCTTATATGTGCTTATATGTCCTCATATGTATATGTGGTAGTCATATCCTCACGTCACAACTTGTCCAGTCTTGACTGACAAGAAATTAAAAAGAATTATATAACTGACATACAGATCCATGTCATTTGATTGGTGGAACTCACACCATGTGACATTCGTTATTGCTCCCATTCATGCCGCGGCTCAAAAAGTCCCATTCGCCCATGGGGAATGGGATTTACTATTCAACAGTTAGGATCATCCTTGTTCCATGGCGCGGTATTTGTGTGCGAATCCATGCTGGTTTGAGCATTACATACGTACGTGTAATGTACGCGTATTGTTCCCAAGAGCCAGTAGCTACAGAGTGGGTTCAAACATTTCGTTAAGGGGTGGTTTGGAAGAGAGAAACACATTTTCCCACCAATTTTGTATTGAAATAGAGGTTACAAGGATTTATATGTCAGTTATATAAAACAATCATTGAGTGGCTTTAAATTGTGAAATGGGAGGAATATTATCGCTCGGTAAAATCTGGACTTTTCCAGTTCACTCAGCTTCGCCTCGTGAATGAAAAAGTCCAGATTTTACCCTGCAATAAAATTACTCCCATACCAGAATGAGCCACTCAATATTTGTATAATTTTTCAACGACCCCTCGGGCCTTTCACATTATCCAACCCGTGTTGATTTAAAAATGGGTAGGCAAGACAATAATGTGAAAATGACTATCGTTCATCCTGTTACCTATGGCCTCATATGAGATTTGACTTGTGATGGACTTGACTACTTCTCTACATTGAAATTTTTTTTAAACCTAAAATATACAAATTTCAGTGCAAAATGTATAAAACACTATTTTAATACACGACTCATTGGAAAGACGGGACGGCAACTGATTTGCATAAAATCTTCGGCAAAGTGGATTTACCATTTAAGCATCTCTATACAATTCAATAACCATTAATTTATTAGGAATTTCCATTGAAAAAAAAATGTTTTCAGTATTGAAGCTCCTCTTAAGATGATTATTTTAATCAGTTTGGCAAAAAAAATTGATATGAAAAGCATCTTTTTCCATACAGACTCTGTCATGCTATACTCTGCACAATTTGTGGCTCAGGGGTATCCCCCCCCCCCCCCCGAATTCCTGAGATTCCAGTAACACAATTACCAACACAATTTCCAACACATATCTTGCTACATATATCTTGCTACAATTACTGTGTCCATTAGAGGGTTCTGTATGACATACAGACTCCTCTAATGGACACAGTGATTGTCAACATTGTCATCACAAGTCAAAAAGTCAAGTAAGAAGCCTATTGAATATATAGTAAACTGGAATGTAAACTGGAAGACTGCCATAGCCAAATGTAACACATCACCACGTGTGGGTTTCCATGACTTTCCATAATGGCGTGAAATTCCAGTAATTTTCCATGCTTACGGGAACCTGACAGAGTGATGCACCACTGTTTCAGCATGGAGGGAATTCTCAATTGGGAAAAAATGTTGCAACCTCATTCATTGCAAAAATAATGATAAGACATGAATCTGGGACTGAAATTTTTTTTCCAGTTTTGTTAGGAAATACTTAGAAAATTTACCTCGACTCTCCATACACTTTGCACACAATCGCGGAAGTGGCATCAGGTTGCAACATTTTTCCCCTCAATTGTCTAAGGAATTCATCATCGTCGGTTTTGAGGCCGTTATCCAGTCCGTTCTGGGTTGGCCTGCTTTCTCCCTATGGCTCCTCTCCACTTGGCCCTATCCGTCGCGTCCCTCGCATTGGCTCCCAGCAGAATTAGGAATTCCTGGTGAATTCCCCAAGGGGGGTGGTGGGGGGAGGGGTGTTCCACTTATGAACATCGCAAACATTGTTAATAATTTCCCATTGGCTATGCGCAAAAACACCAAAAACATTGGCAACGCTTGCCTGAGTGGAACGCATCCTTACTTGTAAAAGACTTGTGATAAACCCATTTCAATTTTGTAGGGAAAAGAATTTACAACTCGTTCCTGCTTTTTCTTGCATCCCCTCTCACCCTAATGCCCTTCGCGAGAGTATCAGGCTCCAGGCCTTGGATGTTGCGCAGGTCTTCCATGTACCGGACGTCGAACCTTTGTCCCTCGACATCCATGACCTCTTCCATCCTGAGCACATCTTCCTCGTCGGCCATGTTGGTTCCCGGCAAGGTGCGCCGATAGTGCAGGTTGACGCCATACAGGAACTTGACCAGATTGGGGTAGTTGAGTTCTCCTTGCCTCTGAACTGTGTATCCTGATGAAAGTGAAAACAATTAACAAAAACAGTTTGGTTAATTTTGTACATCTTCAAGTTTGAGAACAAGGGCCAAGCATAGAGCTATATAAAATTACTAGAGCGCTGACTCATGAACAAAGTGACGCCTGCTGGGCGCATCCATGTTTGTGCACAAACCTACATGTATGGAAAAACTCAAAATTTTGTACGTTTTTTGTACGGCTATTTGCATATCTGCGTTTGTATTCTATACAGGTGCGTTACCGAAGCCGATACGCCAAAAACCAAAACACACGATCAGCAAATGAGCGTTTCATTTTGCTCTACGCAAAACAGCGCAACGCCTGTGCGTATCCGCTGCAGATGATTAGCCGTGACGTGTTTTTTTTAATTAAAAACTGTCATGACACGCTTAAGTTGTTTGCGTACGCTCTACTTGTGCATTGCATTTAGAGTACACTCTCAAAATTCAATCCATATAATTTCATTGTTTTCTACAAAAACGCACATGAATTCAAAATGTCTGCCCCCAGGACAGCTTCAAAGCATCTCAGCGTGCAATAATGAGGAGTTAGCGCGCAAGAATGAGGAGTTAGCACTCTAGTAATGTAATATAGCTCTATGGGGCCAAGTTAAACGAGGCAACTTAATTGGGCCAAGGACAACCAAATGAATCAAAAGGCAGACGTATTGTAATACCTATGCTCTGGAAGGTATACTCAGTATCTTGATCTTCCGACCCGTACGAATCTACATATTCATCAGATACCAGAACTAGGAATCCTGGGATACCGAGGTCGTACTTCAGGGTCTCCAGGTACGAAGGATCTGGGTTACGTATCACACCAAAGTTGAAGTATCTCTTGTAGTGGAGGGCGATGGACTTAAAAACTGGAGGCGTTTCTTTATCTGTAAACCAAGAAAAATCAAAGTTGTTATCAGCTTTGCATGTATCCCACAAAATGAGCCTTGACCCTAACTCCCTAGGCCTTTTTGCTAGGATGTAACCTCAATCCTGCAAAATCCTCCAATTGGCCTCATGAAAAAATACCATATACAGTGCGAGTCAAAAAATTATACACTTTTAAAATTGGCCACAGTTTTATTCTGTAGCAATATAGATAAGATATTTTCATATGTACTTTTAGAGTAACTTTTCCTGCTTCTTTTGGTGACATTTCACTGGATTAATTTTAATGCATGACTGCACAGGAGACGATTAAAGGGTTTGGGTGAAATCTGAATTGCGCCAACTGGTCAGGGCTGGATAAGAAGGAGACAATTTAAAAGAACATTGTCTTGGTTTTGGTCATGGAATGCACAATCAGTTCAGATTTGTGGATCTTGCTTGCAAGAGTTTCAGTCGGCAAATCTGGATGACCTCCAGGAAAGGATAACTCGGGAAATTGACATTCTCAGACAAGACAGGGAGGTGATTCGCCGTGCTGTCGCAGGAACGATGTGCCAAGCCCAGCTGTGCAATGAACGAGATGGTGGCCATGTTGAGGACTAAGACACCCTGGAATTTAATTGCCTTTTTAATTTAATTTAAATGTTTCAAATAAACACGAAGTTTAAAAGCTAATGAAATCCTGTTTTGTCTCTTTGTTAGACAATGGTTGTGTTCTTTTAAATTGTTTCATGTGTACTAGACGCCATACAGACAAGTGTAAACAAGTATGCAAATGGCATGTGTCCCGCCCTATTAGCCTTTCAAAAGTGGTCGCAATGCGTCATTTACTACTCGTGAACGGAGTTCGTCACCATTTTCAAACACAGTTTCTCATGAACACTAGGCCCTACTGGTGGTTTTGAGTCTCCACAATTTCCAAATTGTCTTTAAACTTTAAAATGCACCTGTTATGAAGATTGCTGGGAATGCTGACGGGTGCATCATGTAGGAATCATAGAGAAAATTGTTAAGAAGCTGGGGGTCCAACTCGGTGGTGACCTCTGGCAAGCTATTGACTGCAATCTCTTTGGCCTCCCTAGGTGTCTGGACATCGGTCCATTTGGCCGTCTTGCCACCCCCGTAAGGGTAGACCCTAGCTGGTGGGTTTTTGCGGACATTAAAGTCCTGTGAATGAAAAAAAATAACATTGGACATTTTCTAGTTGTGTCACTTTTCAGGCTCAGGCTGTACTCTCTGATGGCTGAATCAAATGGATTAATTTGATGTAAAAAGTACACTATCATACCAACTTCCACCTTTTTGGGGGAGTTTTACATCGTTTCTCGATTAAATTCTTTACGAAAATTATATTGTGACGTTGAATAACTTGTTTTCAAAGAAGAAAATGTTTTGGACTTCATAAAGAGTATTATTTGTAATTTTGAAACGGTGGAAATGCTGGTAAATGGTTCTTAAGAAAGCCCACTCCTTGGGCCCTTTATCGCAAATGGTGTGGTCCAAAGAGCTGTGTGTGAAACTCTGGGTGGACACGTACGTGTTCGGGCTACACAGCCAACCGATCCCGTTGGCTCGGTGGTCGAGTGGTAAGACATCTGCACTAGAAAGCAGGAGGTCGTGGGTTCGTCCCACCCGAGAGATTTTTTCCAACTTTAACTCGGGAGGTAACACACTGAGTATAGAGTGTTTAAACGTCGGTGAAGGGCAAAAACCTAATTTGATTTACACTACCCTGACGCAAAATTCCATCTTATAATAGTTTATGCGGTACCCGCCGCTATGTACATCAGATTCGAACCAGCCAACCGATCCCGTTAGCTCGGTGGTCGAGTGGTAAGACATCTGCACTAGAAAGCAGGAGGTCGTGGGTTCGTCCCACCCGAGAGATTTTTTCCAAATTTAACTCGGGAGGTAACACACTGAGTATACTTGTTTAAACGTTGGTGAAGGGAAAAACCTAAATTGGGAATTCCTAATTATAGTTGGGACGATCCAAACTGTAGTTTGGATCGTCCCAACTATAGCTGGGGTATTAACACCTCTCTTACAATTTCATCTAACAGATCTTCCTGCTGTAGTCTGTGCACCATCCCGAACCAAACGATGCCCCGCAGTGATACGGCCAATGTCTTCCACTCTTTCTTCAGCATGCCATCCGTGAACAGGACAATCCATGGATCCTCGGCTTCCACAACCCACTCCTCAAAATTCTCTTCCGTCAGCTCAAAGATGTCCTTGTATTTCTCCTCTTCCGTGAACCCTTCTGTCCCCGAAGTGGGGTCAATGGTGATCGTCTTCTTGACGACGCGGTTAGACTGCCCGACAGCAGGGGTCACGAAGGCATGCCCGAGCAGTGCCAGGCAGATGAGGACGGGTTGCAGGGAACTGCCTCGGATAACTGGTTCACGGGGCAATGCCTTGATAAACTGCCACATCTTGCCGATGTCTGGTTCCGAGTTCATTCAAATTTGTCACATCAACAAGTGCATGTTAATTGTTCATTCCAAACTTTGCCAATCACTTGAAATGTAGTCTGGGAATCAAAAGGAAGAAAGACGAAGATGAAGTTTTTAATTTGATAAGAAAGGAGTTGATTTTTTGGGGGTTAACAAAGTTTCCAACCACCACCGGCCCCACTCCCACCTTAATGCCACTTCCTCATCATCAACATGATCAACAATGCAAAGTTATGTAGATGACTGGACTGCACTGCAGCACAGGGATTGCCACTGAAAATAAAATGTGATTTATGAACGGTATAGCTTCAGTAACTCCAGTTCCATTGCTCATCAGGAATTCAACATATAGACCTGGACCATTTTGTAGATATATTTTTTTATTGGATTTACAATCCAGATTCCATCAAACATACCTCATTAATGACATTATGTTTCATGGAATCGGTGTTGGGATTGTGATACAGATACAGAGAGTTCCATTTTTTTAGGGCCTTTTGGAAGTTTCTATATATCGTAGTTTTAGCTCCAGCTCCATGTCGAATTTCTGATGAGCAGTGAGCTGGAGTAACTCTAGCTTGAGTAACTCCAGCTCTAATGCCTATCGCATTGGGCATTAGAGCTGGAGTTACTCAAGCTGAACGTAAATGATCCCTTCATGTCATGGAACGGGTTACTCCTAGAACTATGATACTCCGCTCACGTGAGTCATGATAGTTCTAGGACTGGAGTAGGAACAGGTTTCAGAAAGAGTGTTGCATCTCGACACCACTGTCTCCATCATAATTATCTCAATGAAGGTCGGTCATTGCAGAAACGTAACTTGAAGAGACACGAATCTGGGACTGAGATTGAGAAACATTTGCAAATTTGTTAGAAAATACTTGGTCTTAAAAGTGCACTTGACTCTCCATAGACTTTGTACATAGGCAAAGAAAGTGGTGGCGACTGGACACTGCATTCCTTCCAAGGTTTCCACTTATTCCCATATTCCACTTTGTGCAACCATGCATGGAGAAAGGAATGCAAGTATATACTTTAGTTGTTGTACTCAATTCAAAATTAAACTGCTTGAACTAGGCTTAGCAATTGCAGGGCAGTAGCAGATACGACCTACCTAGCAGAAACTACATGTAGCAGGAAAGGTCGATATTATTTCTCAAACGCCACAGGTCGAACGCTGCATCAGCAGAAAGATCCGAAAGAAAATGGGTTTCGTACCACACGAGGGCGCCGTGCGAGGCTGGTTTAGACTTGATCAAGTCATTCACTGGCTTAGCGTTGATAATTTAGCCTGGAAGTGTTTCGTTATAAAAAAGTTTGTTGTGTGTTTTTCTTTATTATGTACAGGCTGATTTTAATTGTGGAATGTTTTACGTGTCCTTTTTGCCAAATTTATCGTGCTTTAATTTGTATTATTAGTTACGTCTGAATTAAGTGCATAAATTATTATCAATATTTCATGCAAGTTATATGGAGATGTAGAAAATTTCCGGCAAAGTAGTGCTTACCAAAATAATTCTCAAGCGTTCGGACCCGGTCCTTCTTCAGTGGTTTATTGTTCCTGAATCTTTTTCATGTATTTCTGTGGAGTTATAACAAATAAGTCGACCTGTTTTTGGCACTGGCCACGGAATAAATCTGCATGAGTGCATCGACCTGTGGCGCCTTGAGATGGTTTTTGTACATGGTTTATAAATCGACCTGTGGCGTTTGAGATGGTTTTTGTACATGGTTTATATGCATGTTCAGGCTCATCGACCTGTGGCGTTCAAGTTTGAGATGTTTTTTGTACATGTTTTTAATAAGGGAATAAATGTGTGCTCCGGAGGTTTTTATCACTCGTTTAATACCACTTAGAGTCTGGGTGCTGATAATTACCCGAGCCGGAGGCGAGGGTAATTATCAGCACCCAGACTCTAAGCGGTATTAAACAGAGTGATAAATACCGACCGAGCACATATTTATTCCCATTCATAAATACCTTATCCGTAAAAAAATATCAAATAATTCGTTCAAAAATCCCGATTTTGTTCAACAAGTTCACTTCATGCTTTTTGAAACATCCCTCTAGCAAAATAATGGAGTGTTCAGCTGGTGAGTAAGATGTAAACAACCCTTTTATGGAGATTGACGCGCGCGTAACATGTTCTGCGCGATGTCACGCAGAACGCACCTGGGGCGTTGCGTTTTGAATTTAGAACTATAAAATTCTGACTCGCTTGTAGTGTTGCGCATGCCTACGTGAGGATTGTGAACGTTCAACCAATGAAACGGTAAGAGGCACTTGATTTTTAGGAGTCCACATTTTATTGTGACACTGGAAAAGTGTTTAAGACCAGCTAGCCATGTCTTTATCATTTGTTTAAGACCGGCCACGTGACGGGCTCTCGACCAATAGGAATAGCTAAACTGTCTGAGGTATTTATGAATGCATGTTTATGCAAAATCGATCGGCCTGTGGCGTTTGAGATGGTTTTTGTACATGGTTTTATATATGCATGTATAGGCGAATCGACCTGTGGCGTTTGAGATGGTTTTGAACATGGATGCTTGTACAGGCTAAATCGACCTGTGGCGTTTGAGATGGTTTTTTGAACATGGTTTAGGCATGTTCAGGCTCATCGACCTGTGGCGTTTGAGATGGTTTTTGTACATGTTTTAATGCAGGTACATGATGTACAGGCAAAATTGACCTGTGGCGTTTGAGATGGTTTTGAACATGGATGCTTGTACAGGCAAAATCGACCTGTGGCATTTGAGATGGTTTTTGTACATGGTTTAGGCGTGTTCAGGCTCATCGACCTGTGGCGTTTGAGATGGTTTTGAACATGGATGCTTGTACAGGCAAAATCGACCTGTGGCATTTGAGATGGTTTTTGTACATGGTTTAGGCGTGTTCAGGCTCATCGACCTGTGGCGTTTGAGATGGTTTTTTTGTACATGTTTTAATGCATGTACAGGCAAAATTGACCTGTGGCGTTTGAGATGGTTTTGTACATGGTTTATATGCATGTATAGGCAAAATCGACCTGTGGCGTTTGAGATGGTTTTGAACATGGATGCTTGTACAGGCTAAATCGACCTGTGGCGTTTGAGATGGTTTTTTGAACATGGTTTAGGCATGTTCAGGCTCATCGACCTGTGGCGTTTGAGATTGTTTTTGTACATGTTTTAATGCAGGTACATGATGTACAGGCAAAATTGACCTGTGGCGTTTGAGATGGTTTTGTACATAGTTTATATGCACATACAGGCTAAATCGACCTGTGGCGTTTGCGATGTTTTTTGTACATGGTTTAGGCATGTTCAGGCTCAGTGGCATAGCCAGGAATTTTTCAGTGGCGCTGGGGGGGCTGGAACATTTCATGGGGGGGGGGGGGCTTCATGCAGGGGCGTCAATCGCTCCTCAAAAGTGTGGGGGGGGGGGGGGCAGACATACCTTGATCAGGACTGATGCGCTTGAAGCCTTTACGGCGTGGGGTTCGGGGCCTGCTTAAGGGCCCCGAACAAAAAATTGATTCTAGATGTTCTGTGGTGTGATCTGAAGCAATTTCTTACCATTTCCCTCCATGCTTTAACTAATATTTTCCTAGCAAAAGATAATTATTTGAACATCGTTTTCGAGGGTGGAGTCATTGAATCAGCTATCGGTATTCTGAGCTATAGGCGTGGGGTTCGGGACCCGCTTTAGGGCCCCGAAAAAATTGGATTCTCGATGCTCTGTGGTGTGATCTGAGGCAATTTCTTACCACTTTAACCAATAATTATCTTAGCACAAAAGATAATAATTGAAACATAATTTTTCTCAGCTAAAGGCATAAGAAAATTTTTTTAACATTGTTTTCGAGGTTGGAGTCATTGAATCAGCTACCAGAATTCTGAGTTTTAGGCGTGGGGTTCGGGGCCCGCTTAAGGGCCCAGAAAAATTTTGGATTCTAAATGCTCTGTGGTGCTATCTGAGGCAATTTCTGACCACTTTAACCAATATTTTCTAAGCAAAAGATACATTGTAGTACATAATAGGGCCCTGTAAATGAGACACGAGTTCAAAAATCCGGGGGGGGGGGGGGGGGGGGGGACATTTGATATTTTGTACCCCACCCTTCAAAAAAGTGATTGACGCCCATGGAGTCATGTAGATCAATGATAATTTTTTTAGAAACTCAAAATCTCAGTTGGGGGGGGGGGGGGCGACTGGGGGGACAAGGTTTCATGGGGGGGCCGTCGCCCCCCCCCCCCCCCCCCCCCCCCACTGAGATTTTGAGTGGCATAGCCACCGTTCAGGCTCATCGACCTGTGGCGTTTGAGATGGTTTTTTGTACATGGTTTAATGCATGTACAGGCAAAATCGACCTGTGGCGTCTGAGATGGTTTTGTACATGGTTTACACGTATGCATACATACGGGCTAAATCGACCTGCAGCGTTTGAGATGGTTTTTGTACATGTTTTACATGCACAGGCTAAATCGACCTGTGGCGTTTGAGATGGGTTTTGTACATGGTTTAGGCATGTTCAGGCTCATCGACCTGTGGCGTTTGAGATGGTTTTTGTACATTTTTTAATGCATGTACAGGCAAAATCGACCTGTGCCGTTTGAGATGGTTTTTGTACATGTTTTAATGCATGTACAGGCAAAATCAACCTGTGCCGTTTGAGATGGTTTTGCACATGGTTTATATGCATGTACAGGCTAAATCGACGTGTGGCGTTTGAGATGGGTTTTGTACATGGTTTATATGCGATGCATCGATTATGATAATGAGTAGACTGGATCACGTTTGTAAACACATGTGCATTTCGAACGATATTAAATAGAGAGTCGGGAACTAGCGCAGCTTTTTATGGCGGATACCAGTTCAGCTGGTTCCCGGTTCCTTTTACAGTTCGAAATGCACATGTATGTGTTTACAAACGTGACTCATTATCATAATCGATGCATCGCGCGCGCTCGGTAAAGGAATCGCACTCGGTACGGGGACCATCGAATGTACGCTGGGCATGAAGAAGAAATCGCGTTGTTCAAACATTAAACATGATAGGAGATTTAACGTGTTCAAGATCGCGAGGGAAGCTCTCCGAAATGAACGGAAAATTTCACTTTTTTTTCCGGATCGTAAGTAAACTTCAGTACAACCATCTTAATCATCGATGTCTACTTGTACCTCAGGTGGCATATCTAGTAATTTGGAGGCTGTTTTGAAGGTGAAATCTGATGTTTTTTTTGTTGGAAAATGTTGGTTTTTGGGATGGTGTTGTCCAGCTCGCGGTATTAGCTTGGACCCTACTATCGCCAGACCATGTCCCAATGTTAAAAAGGCGATAAGTTGGGTCCAAGTTACTCGGACTAAGTGCGACCCTATAAAGAGGGTTAGTATGCTTCTAAAGCAAAAAAACCCTACAAACTAGCCTAAATGTGAAAATCAAAATTTGGCAAAGTGCGACACGTCTTTGTACATGTGATGTGTGGCCTATGTAACGTTTACGGAGGCAGCCCAGTAAATAGGCCACATTTATGGGGCTGTTGTGCCCATTCTTGAAAATCACACATTCTTAAGAATGTGCATGCATGCACATTCTTAAGAATGTGCAACTGGATCCTCGCCCATCTTCGCAAAAAATAACTCTTCCAGATTGAGCGCACATTCTTAAGAATGCGCGACAAGATAACGGTCTTGTCGATGCCGAGCACCGGCTGCGCTTGGCAAGTCTAGCTGCATTCTCGTTCACTGATTCTCAATAATTATACTGTTGCAACGCAAGGCGCTGAAAAAGTAGAGTGGATTATGATAAGTATCTATAGGCGTATTGATATGGGGGGGGGGGGGGGGACCGGGAAAAAATAAGAGACATAATAATCATGATAATACTAGTGGAAAGAATTCTGATTTTTTGGGATAATAAAAGCGGGGGGGGGGGGGGGGGGGGGGACGTAAGAAATGAAGAATGTGAAGAATGAGAATGAATACTGCGACATCCCATAGTGCTAATGCTATTCCCATTTAAATTGCCACAATTTATTGTTCACACCCCACCATTACGTCGCAGAGCTGGATTCTGTCTAGTCAAAAGAGCAATTTTGGCAGCTTCTGGACATCATTTTTTTTTTCGTGGCATGCATATGATACATACAAGGACTTGTAACTTGTCTAGCCTAAACAAAGCACTTCCCAGACTAGTTCCCAGTCCTCCGTTATTACAAAACTTCCCATAGTGGGCAGAAAAAAGCAATAATAACAGTTTAATTTGATTCAAATTATCGTAGTTATACGAGTTCAGAAGCATAGAACATTTTCTTTCCTCTAAATATAAATTGTTTCCCTTTTAACCGCTATACATTTCATTCAACATAATTATGTCGTGCAATGTTTGTTAAGATTGGGCAAAATTCATAAATTGTGCACGTGATATTCCCACCCAATCTTAAGAATGAGCGCTCATTCTTAAGAACGCGTGCTCGTTCTTAAGAATGGGCGCTCATTCTTAAGAATGCGCGCACATTCTTAAGATTGCGTGATTTCAAGAATGGGCACAACAGGGCTACACATAGCCCAGGTTGGACAAAGTCTTCACTGCAATACTAACTAGGGAGGAAAGGAAGTCCACCAGGCTAGGCTACACACTCACAGGCCTATTGCCATTGGAAATCCTGATGAGCATTTAATAGATAGGCCTAAATGACAACTAAATTGACATGCCTAAGAATCATTTGTTTGAACGATAATCACACCTTTTCCTGCTCCTGTAACCAACGCTCTTTTGCCATCAAACTTGACATCCATGCTTGACTGTCGGCTGAAAACGAACTTTCCTCAGCTCAGGTCGAGCCCCTTCTGATTCTCTCGACTAGTAGAGTACGCACGCACACGTTCACTGCACTACGCGGCGCGGTGCGGACCAGGGTGACCGTAAAGTCAGAGAGCCAAATTCTGCTAAATACACATCAAAAATCTGTCAGATTTATCAAAAAAACTGCCAAATTCACATAACTCGAAATACGCTATAAACACTTAAAATTACATGCAGATTTATAGTCGCATAAAGATGTTTATGAAATTATTAACATAGGTAAATTTCGGGCAAAACGTACGTTGATCCGGCCACGACAAATTCCGTTTCCCAGTGATAGATCGATCTATTTAGAAGTAGAACCATTACGCAAGGGTTTGTTTGAAAAGGATTGAAGCTTTTTTCAACAAATACGATTTTTGGTTCAAATTAGCTGTTTCTGTCAGAACCATTTTTGCAGAATTCTGCCCGGAAACAATTTGTACTCCACCCCCTGCAACCTTCCAAAACAAAATCCATTCTGTCAAATTTTTTGTCAAACTCTCATTTTTTTAACCAAAAATTCTGTCAAAGTTAGCCGAGAATCGGCTAAAACGGTCGCCCTAGCGCGGACCTTGGTTCACAGACGGGTTCCCACGGATCCTGGGGATGTGTAGAGCGCGCCGGCCGTGCACAGGCTGTACGCGTACAACCGGCTCTTGTACTTGTGGGTCGTAAAGTCCGACGCCGCCATAGAGGTTGCAGACCAGTAAATCGGTCCGAAATTGCCTACGCCGGCCAAATCACGATTTGCATGCCCTCAAAATCTTCGGTATTTGGGCATGCTTGGGCCATGAACTTGATGGTTTAAAAAAATATGGGGGAAGCCGTGCACAGGACTGTGAGCTTGTAGTTCCGTTCAATTTTAATGAATTGGGGCCCTTTAAAGCGCTCTATTTTACCATAACGTGTAGGCATCATTTTCAAAACGAACTGGGGGCATCATGTACCTATGTCTGGGGCTCACTCCAAAAGTTTCAAGTCTGAAGCCTTGCCGATTTGTCAGCTTGTTGGCCTATTCATCCGCCATCCAACAAGTTATAGTTTGTCAAAATCCATCCATGTGAGGTACCTTTAGACCGCGACTCATGAGAGCCATGTTGGCTGGCGCTGACAGCCCTTGCTATGGGACTTACTGCACAAAAACGAAACTGGGGGCATCATGTACCTATGTCTGGGGCTCACTCCAAAAGTTTCAAGTCTGAAGCCTTGCCGATTTGTCAGCTTGTTGGCCTATTCATCCGCCATCCAACAAGTTATAGTTTGTCAAAATCCATCCATGTTAAGGTACCTTTAGACCGCGACTCATGAGAGCCATGTTGGCTGGCGCTGACAGCCCTTGCTATGGGACTTACTGCACAAAAACGAAACTGGGGGCATCATGTACCTATGTCTGGGGCTCACTCCAAAAGTTTCAAGTCTGAAGCCTTGCCGATTTGTCAGCTTGTTGGCCTATTCATCCGCCATCCAACAAGTTATAGTTTGTCAAAATCCATCCATGTTAAGGTACCTTTAGACCGCGACTCATGAGAGCCATGTGGCTGGCGCTGACAGCCCTTGCTATGGGACTTACTGCACAAAAACGAAACTGGGGGCATCATGTACCTATGTCTGGGGCTCACTCCAAAAGTTTCAAGTCTGAAGCCTTGCCGATTTGTCAGCTTGTTGGCCTATTCATCCGCCATCCAACAAGTTATAGTTTGTCAAAATCCATCCATGTTAAGGTACCTTTAGACCGCGACTCATGAGAGCCATGTTGGCTGGCGCTGACAGCCCTTGCTATGGGACTTACTGCACAAAAACGAAACTGGGGGCATCATGTACCTATGTCTGGGGCTCACTCCAAAAGTTTCAAGTCTGAAGCCTTGCCGATTTGTGCTTGTTGGCCTATTCATCCGCCATCCAACAAGTTATAGTTTGTCAAAATCCATCCATGTTAAGGTACCTTTAGACCGCGACTCATGAGAGCCATGTGGCTGGCGCTGACAGCCCTTGCTATGGGACTTACTGCACAAAAACGAAACTCTGGGGGCATCATGTACCTATGTCTGGGGCTCACTCCAAAAGTTTCAAGTCTGAAGCCTTGCCGATTTGTCAGCTTGTTGGCCTATTCATCCGCCATCCAACAAGTTATAGTTTGTCAAAATCCATCCATGTTAAGGTACCTTTAGACCGCGACTCATGAGAGCCATGTTGGCTGGCGCTGACAGCCCTTGCTATGGGACTTACTGCACAAAAACGAAACTGGGGGCATCATGTACCTATGTCTGGGGCTCACTCCAAAAGTTTCAAGTCTGAAGCCTTGCCGATTTGTCAGCTTGTTGGCCTATTCATCCGCCATCCAACAAGTTATAGTTTGTCAAAATCCATCCATGTTAAGGTACCTTTAGACCGCGACTCATGAGAGCCATGTTGGCTGGCGCTGACAGCCCTTGCTATGGGACTTACTGCACAAAAACGAAACTGGGGGCATCATGTACCTATGTCTGGGGCTCACTCCAAAAGTTTCAAGTCTGAAGCCTTGCCGATTTGTCAGCTTGTTGGCCTATTCATCCGCCATCCAACAAGTTATAGTTTGTCAAAATCCATCCATGTTAAGGTACCTTTAGACCGCGACTCATGAGAGCCATGTTGGCTGGCGCTGACAGCCCTTGCTATGGGACTTACTGCACAAAAACGAAACTGGGGGCATCATGTACCTATATCTGGGGCTCACTCCAAAAGTTTCAAGTCTGAAGCCTTGCCGATTTGTCAGCTTGTTGGCCTATTCATCCGCCATCCAACAAGTTATAGTTTGTCAAAATCCATCCATGTTAAGGTACCTTTAGACCGCGACTCATGAGAGCCATGTTGGCTGGCGCTGACAGCCCTTGCTATGGGACTTACTGCACAAAAACGAAACTGGGGGCATCATGTACCTATGTCTGGGGCTCACTCCAAAAGTTTCAAGTCTGAAGCCTTGCCGATTTGTCAGCTTGTTGGCCTATTCATCCGCCATCCAACAAGTTATAGTTTGTCAAAATCCATCCATGTTAAGGTACCTTTAGACCGCGACTCATGAGAGCCATGTTGGCTGGCGCTGACAGCCCTTGCTATGGGACTTACTGCACAAAAACGAAACTGGGGGCATCATGTACCTATGTCTGGGGCTCACTCCAAAAGTTTCAAGTCTGAAGCCTTGCCGATTTGTCAGCTTGTTGGCCTATTCATCCGCCATCCAACAAGTTATAGTTTGTCAAAATCCATCCATGTTAAGGTACCTTTAGACCGCGACTCATGAGAGCCATGTTGGCTGGCGCTGACAGCCCTTGCTATGGGACTTACTGCACAAAAACGAAACTGGGGGCATCATGTACCTATGTCTGGGGCTCACTCCAAAAGTTTCAAGTCTGAAGCCTTGCCGATTTGTCAGCTTGTTGGCCTATTCATCCGCCATCCAACAAGTTATAGTTTGTCAAAATCCATCCATGTTAAGGTACCTTTAGACCGCGACTCATGAGAGCCATGTTGGCTGGCGCTGACAGCCCTTGCTATGGGACTTACTGCACAAAAACGAAACTGGGGGCATCATGTACCTATGTCTGGGGCTCACTCCAAAAGTTTCAAGTCTGAAGCCTTGCCGATTTGTCAGCTTGTTGGCCTATTCATCCGCCATCCAACAAGTTATAGTTTGTCAAAATCCATCCATGTTAAGGTACCTTTAGACCGCGACTCATGAGAGCCATGTTGGCTGGCGCTGACAGCCCTTGCTATGGGACTTACTGCACAAAAACGAAACTGGGGGCATCATGTACCTATGTCTGGGGCTCACTCCAAAAGTTCAAGTCTGAAGCCTTGCCGATTTGTCAGCTTGTTGGCCTATTCATCCGCCATCCAACAAGTTATAGTTTGTCAAAATCCATCCATGTTAAGGTACCTTTAGACCGCGACTCATGAGAGCCATGTTGGCTGGCGCTGACAGCCCTTGCTATGGGACTTACTGCACAAAAACGAAACTGGGGGCATCATGTACCTATGTCTGGGGCTCACTCCAAAAGTTTCAAGTCTGAAGCCTTGCCGATTTGTCAGCTTGTTGGCCTATTCATCCGCCATCCAACAAGTTATAGTTTGTCAAAATCCATCCATGTTAAGGTACCTTTAGACCGCGACTCATGAGAGCCATGTTGGCTGGCGCTGACAGCCCTTGCTATGGGACTTACTGCACAAAAACGAAACTGGGGGCATCATGTACCATATGTCTGGGGCTCACTCCAAAAGTTTCAAGTCTGAAGCCTTGCCGATTTGTCAGCTTGTTGGCCTATTCATCCGCCATCCAACAAGTTATAGTTTGTCAAAATCCATCCATGTTAAGGTACCTTTAGACCGCGACTCATGAGAGCCATGTTGGCTGGCGCTGACAGCCCTTGCTATGGGACTTACTGCACAAAAACGAAACTGGGGGCATCATGTACCTATGTCTGGGGCTCACTCCAAAAGTTTCAAGTCTGAAGCCTTGCCGATTTGTCAGCTTGTTGGCCTATTCATCCGCCATCCAACAAGTTATAGTTTGTCAAAATCCATCCATGTTGAGGGTACCTTTAGACCGCGACTCATGAGAGCCATGTTGGCTGGCGCTGACAGCCCTTGCTATGGGACTTACTGCACAAAAAACGAAACTGGGGGCATCATGTACCTATGTCTGGGGCTCACTCCAAAAGTTTCAAGTCTGAAGCCTTGCCGATTTGTCAGCTTGTTGGCCTATTCATCCGCCATCCAACAAGTTATAGTTTGTCAAAATCCATCCATGTTAAGGTACCTTTAGACCGCGACTCATGAGAGCCATGTTGGCTGGCGCTGACAGCCCTTGCTATGGGACTTACTGCACAAAAACGAAACTGGGGGCATCATGTACCTATGTCTGGGGCTCACTCCAAAAGTTTCAAGTCTGAAGCCTTGCCGATTTGTCAGCTTGTTGGCCTATTCATCCGCCATCCAACAAGTTATAGTTTGTCAAAATCCATCCATGTTAAGGTACCTTTA